CCATTGAAGAAATCATTGTGCAGAATGGAAAAGTGATTGGTGTGAAATCTGAAGGAGAGGTAAGTAGCTTTTACAGTTTGAAAATAGTATGTTCTTGTGAAGAAAATGTTGCCTCACGTAACGTGGTTTGGGCATTGATGCTGGATTTCAGATTATATGGTTTGTTTATGGCAAGTTGGTATCCGTAATGACTAAGGACTAGCTAAAGATTCTGTGCTTCATTTAAAAAAAAATCTTACTACTTGTTGATTATTGCTTAAGACCGAGATATACATTATGGATGAAGTCTTAGTGGTGCGTGTTCTGTGTTTACATAGTGTAGGTTGGTGCCTGTCTCCTGAATTTTCATTTAAATTTAGCTTTATTTATACCATTTACAATTTATTGGTTGAATTTGGGCTTGGGGATTACTGAGCATTTTACTATTTAATTTGGCTTTTAGCTGTGGAGCTCGCTAGGTGGAGTTCCCAGTAGTGTTTCTCAAATTCGAATTGAATATATGTCTGTGTTAACCTGGTTACCGTGTTTATTCGGAATCAGTAGGTCTGCATTTCCTTGTGAGCTCTCGGGTGAGGCTGATGCTGTGGGTCTGCCAATCAGCTCATTCCTGTTTATAAAGTAACAACTCTTAAAGATAGGTAGAACTGCTCAAAAGCTAAGGATAGAAAAATAGTTGGTGTTCCTGATGGCATTCCATGGGTTAGGTCCGTGTAACCTACAGCCGCTGGTTGGCCACCTGAACGAACCTTTATTACTGTAGATCCTCGTATCTGCCTAGTGCTTCTAGCAGAGTGGGTTTTACGGAATAGGGACAAACGGGGAGGAGTTCATCCGTCCCTCAGAGTCCTTTTCAGTGCAGTGTCCTCTCGTGCCCTCTCATTTTGTTTCCCACGGCTTCTTCCTCCCAGGAGGTCACAGAACATTCACTTCTTACTGGGCACAGTCACAAAAGATGGCCCTTAAATACAGTATTTCATTTAATCCTAGCAACGACCGTTAGATGTTGGGTACGGCCAGGATTTGAGACCTGCCTGCCCGATGCTAAAATGTGTAACTTCTAAACACTGTGCACCAGGTTCCCAAATATTTGAATAGGACTTAGAATTCATGGGTCTTTTCCAGGAGAATTTGTTGGGATTGTTGGCAAAACTAGTTTTATCTGTAGTTCAGTAATAACTTACAGTTAACCTAATGAAGGTAACAGATGATATTAAAGGGGCAGTGGCATCAGTAGTCTATCGAAAAACTTTGTGGACAGTGATTGTTATAAATGTGACTTAAATGTTTTGGGACAGGTTGCTCGCTGTAAGCAGCTCATCTGTGATCCCAGCTACGTCAAAGACCGGGTAGAAAAAGTGGGCCAGGTGATCAGAGTTATCTGCATCCTCAGCCACCCCATCAAGAGCACCAATGATGCCAACTCCTGCCAGATCATCATTCCCCAGAACCAGGTCAATCGGAAGTCAGGTGAGTTTTGAAGATCAGATGTTTGTGGAATTTTGTTAAGAGTTTGCTGTGTTTCATCCCAAATTTTTAATTTTGTTTGCTGTTATAGTGAAGAAACTCTAGGTCACCTATGGGAAAGGAGATGTGATGGATTTAGCTCAGAGAGACCCTCATCCTCACCTCGAAAGGCACACATTAGTCCCAGAGCCCTGCCTCGCCCTCCTGCTAGTCCTGCACTTTGGACCTCCATTCTCTCTCTCGTTCTAGAAGGAGGAATTGAGAGGCTAGGCTAGCTGAGTGGTCGCGCTGTCTCCTGGCTCGAACGTTATGGCCTGCAGGGGTTTCATGCTTACTAGGTGACCCACTGTGGTTTTGAGCCAGTGACAGTGCTTTTGTGTCATTATTTGTCAAGTTCATACTCACATTTGATTTTAGCAGTGTGCTAGAAAACAGCTTTCTGTGGTTAGGGTCAGGACTGACGGCTAAAGTTGTAATTCCTCATCTCTTTGTGTTGAGAAGTTGTTTTCATCCCCCCACCTTTTCCCACCATCCTTTCAGGTAGAAGCCTGCTCTTTTGTTTATTGAAAGTTCAACTTCAAAAGGGGTTATCCGCTTTGAAACAGAGCTGTGTTTATTTGTCTATGTAAGAAACCGGAATCACGGAAGATGAGGACCGTAGCAGAGGGGCGTTCAGGGGCTCCCAAGCAGATCCCAGGGTTGGTGAAAGCCTCAAAAGAGTGAAGGAGCTCAGTAATAACCTTCCCTTTCGGAAACGATGCACTTACTGAGTGGCATGCAGACAGGGAGAACCCATGGGATCGGACGGGTTTCTTATACTAACTGAAGAACAGCTTATGCTGATGGGCAGTTTTGTTACTGTAATAAATGCGAAACTTGGTACTTAAATCCTTTCTTAGCTGTTGGAAAGCCTTCCTAAATGCTGGGCTTGCAGAGGAAGAGGACTCCGGAGCAGTTAGGTTTGTCCAGTGTCTGGGTAGCGGTCAGAGAGCTGGGAAGGGGCATGTGCCCAAGTCCAGCAGCTCCCGGCTACAGAGGCCCGTAGTCTCCAGCAGGCCAGAAGTCGCTGGACTCGGGCATGCTTTATGGAGGACTTGGGCTGCCTCCATTTAGAACTGAAGCTTAGAAGACTGGGTCTGTTGCCAGCGACTTTTTAAGTCACACCTCGACGCGATCCGGGTGGAAGGTTCGTGAGCCTGGGCAGTGAGATGACACTCCTCGTTTGCAGATATCTACGTCTGCATGATCTCCTCCGCGCACAACGTGGCCGCACAGGGGAAGTACATCGCCATAGTCAGCACCACTGTGGAGACCAAGGAGCCGGAGAAAGAAATCAGACCAGCTTTGGAGCTTTTGGAACCAATTGAACAGAAGTGAGTGCCGTGTTCATGTAGATGAGCTCAAATGCAAGACGAGGTCAGACTTCGTGGCGGGGTGAGCGCTGGGAGCCGGCCGTGCGGGCATCGTGCCCGCCCGCCTCACGCCGTGGGCTTGGAATTGCGGCAAAGCTCTGAGTGTGGCCTTGGGGTCAGCTCACCTGCTGACTTCATTCTTTTCCCTCCAGATTTGTTAGCATCAGTGACCTCCTCGTACCAAAAGACCTGGGAACAGAAAGCCAGGTGAGCGCGGCGGTCCTGGGAGGGCATGGGGCGCAGGCGTCGTCGCGAGACGTCCCGCCTCAAATCTTTGTGATTTCATTCCAGATCTTTATTTCCCGCACATACGATGCTACCACTCACTTTGAGACCACCTGTGACGACATCAAAGACATCTACAAGAGGATGACCGGGTCCGAGTTTGACTTTGAGGAAATGAAGCGCAAGAAGAACGACATCTACGGGGAAGACTAAACTGCAGTGCGCGCGCTCGTCTCGTTAGGACAGACTTCACTCTGGCAAATGCCGTGTACTGTGTGCAGTCACTGTCGTAAGGCCTGCTTCGCAGTCCCAGCTGAGATTGCAGAGCACTGTCCCAGTAACTACTCCTCCCCTCTCCTATCATGTAGTAACTCGTTTCCGTGGAGTGGCTCTTCAGAACGGGCAGGTCACCACATTCTGTTCAGTGTAACCGATACTGGCTTTTTTTCCCCAGTGAAGGATCAGTTTTAAGAAAATCCTGTGGTCCTGATACGGAGCACCCGATACAGTATTTGTATCTTTTAATTAGTGTCACCTCCGCGGCCGGAGTGGCACCATTCGCGTGCCGTCTCTCCCCTTGGCGTTGAGATTCCAACTGAATATTCCACGACTTGGGACATTTCGTGTGTCCTGTCAGCTGTTAACGACCGTGCCCACGGAACACAGCCACACATTGGGGTTCCGTGGGCCTATATTTCTAACCCAACTGCAGACCTGAGAGTCATTTTGGAGGAAGCCTGTGTGCGGTGTTCTAACCTGATAAAATTGATGAGAGCAAGGGGGAAAGAAACCTGTGGTAAAGCAGGTAAACGTAGAAGCTTCTTTTGTATCCCAGGTGTGGCTTCTTGACCGGACCAAGCTGCGACGCAGTATTGATTTGACAGAGCCTGCACTTCAGTGATGTCTGTCTCGAATGGCTCCACATGATTTCTGTACTGCAAAATAAAGCCAGACTCTGGAAACCAGGTCCTTCTCGATTGGTGTGTTTGTGTCCTGGTGTTAAGAGCTCGTGCGTGTCGTCCTGGCGCCGGCACAGCGGCTCGCTCCCTCCCGTGCAGCTGACAGATGCCGCGTAGAAGGGTGCGCTCCATCCTTATCTGGACGGATCCAAACATCCCTTTCGTCTGGCTTCGCTGTGAGTAGCCCCCACGTGACGTTCTTGACACCTCTCCTGAGGCACAGAGCGACCCTAGTTGAGAAACCACTGCTGTCTACATGGTGAGAGGATCTAAAATCCTAGCAAGCCTTTCCTTTCCCTAGTTGTTCAACTAGTGATGCGGGCAGAGGCGCACGCTGGGCTAGAAATACATAGAATATCAGGAGCTTTTCAGAGTCTTCACTTGAAGTGCATATTGAACACCTGTAATACACGGGTGCCCGGCCAGCGTGGAACGGCGAGGGCGGCCTGGAGGAGTGGACCGTGCGCTACTCCGGGGCTTGGTTACGTGTAGAAGCAGTTCTAGAAAAGCGGCTGTGGACACAGAGCGAGACTTGTGGGTCATGGGAGGGATCTTCGCGGGGCGGGGGGGGGGGGGTCAGACCTGAGGCACGATCTGAGAGATGAGCGAGCGGCCAGAGTTCAGTCGCTCGTCAAGTCATTTCCAATTCAGCGCGCCTCATGCAGCCACCGTCCTCTTGTCATGTCACGTGCCTGGGCTTCCAAGCCAGAGACCGTGTCACGTCGGGACTGTTCGGGTAGCAAGTAGAGAGGCACCAGAAGGCTTGTGAAAGCCTGTCCGCCCTGCTCGGCGTGCCCGGTTTCGGGAGGCCAAGCACGGGGCAGGGCGGTGGGGCCAGTGACGGACGTGGAAGCGAAGTCATTTCCGTCAGATGGCCTAAAAACTGCCATGACATGCCCACAAATTCAAATTTTGCTATAAAGAAATCCCAGAAAGTTGATTTTTCAGTTGTCTTTATTAAAAAAAATGAAATCAGTTACAAAAACTTGTTCCAAATAGATACTGTGTATCTACAAACATTTTTTGCTTGGTTTTGAGTTTAAAGATTACGGTAGAAATTATTTCTAATACCATAAATAAATGATTTTCTTCCTCAGAGGGTTGATTTTGTAGTGCAGTATTTACAAAAACTGAGTAAGTGGAAACTGACAGTTTATAAATCTGTAACACAGAACTTACTGTAGTGTTGCCAGAATAACAGCAAACAAACCACATACAATCCTAGCTTTCACGAGGGTGGTAAAGCCTTTACAACTGAGTGTAACATGCACTACAGAACGCTTTTCAGAGAGGAACATGCAAAAACAAAGCTATCCGTTAAAATACTTATTTTTGCTACAACTAAGTAAACGTGTTTGTAAAAATCTTTTTAACATTGAGCTTAATTAATAGCTTTGAAGGCTCTCTGTATAAAATGAAAATAATTTAAAACAATAATACTGAACACTGCAACCCAAAGCTAGTGGACAGCTGACATCCCACTGTGAATGAAGGCCAAGATTTTATAGCAAAGTGTAAAGAAATGAAGGAAAACTCTCAAGTTGTAGAATATTGATTTTTCAAATATGAGAAAACTGTTTTATCTAAAAAGTTTTCAAAGTAAAAGGAAACTAGGAATTGGTTGTGGTGGCATCGCCGTCTCGGCCAGCTGATCACCTGGATAAACACAAAATTGATAATTTCATCTTAGAACAACCAAGAAATGTTTTAGAAACAGGAGACTGTCGAACGGGGACTTCTATGCATCTTCTGTCCTGGGAACAAGATGAACTGCAGGTGACAACTGGTGTCAGATGAAATGGGTTACTCTGAAGTAGGTGGATCCTTCAGAAATTCCCACTTGAGCCAAACCAACAGTGATTCCACCCCTAGCACAGATTTAAAATTCACAGCATGATGTAGAAGGTAAAGAACAGAGTTTGCCAACAACTGGTGTCCTCGGACACAAATACGAATGTCAGTATCTGTGCTGTCCCGTTCACACAGGAGAGTTCTGGAAAGTGTCCTTACCAATAGCTACTCCTAAACGGAGCTGCTATTTTTGGTATATTTTCAATGAAGTTATTTACATCTGTAACAAGGATGCCACTATTTTCAAAGACTTCTCTGGAGACGGTGGGCTTTTCTGTAAAAAGAAAAAAATAGCTTTTTGGTGAAAAATTTATTGATGTATACTTTTAAAGCATCAGAACCCCTTTTATTGAAACACACACACACACCACCCCCCCCCCCCCAAACTTTAATGGAACTGCTTAATCCCATGGATGGGAGGAGAGGTTCCAGAGAGGAAAGGTGTGGAGCTTTGGGAGCAGCCCCCAGGGGTGGGGCTGGGGATGCTGAACGCCAGTGACAACTGGTCCTTGCTTACAGAGTTTTAAAAAGCTGGGTTAGCATTCACCTGAAACACTTAAGTACGTGTAGGCGGTGATTAACAGCAGTGCATCAGGGGACGGCTTGCTAGACCGAACCCACGAGACCCCGTGCCCTGGGCCTTCCGTGTGTTTATGAGACACGGCAGGCAAACACCGGGTGGACATCCGCATAGATCTCCGGCATCTGATGTCTGCACTTGGACATTTCTAGAGTAGCCAGAACGAAGGATGTTGGTTTACCTGTTAGGAACACCGCAAACCTGGCGTGGATGTGCTGAATTTGCAGGTTTAGCAGACATTTTAAATGTTCTGCTTTTGATGGTGCTCGAGAGTCACACTGGTGATAAGGAAGCAGTTCGATGAGATTTGCACTCTGATAGGATTTCAGTATTAAGTTCTTCTTACGTGCAACTGAATCCACTCTGGAGTAGAGACGGAAATGTGAACCAAATTTAGATTCAGTATCAATTTGCAGGTTTACTTTTCACTGTATCTCAATTTTTAGCTGTTTTATTCCTATACTTCTTGCCCTCACAGTACTTAACAATTTGACCTCTTGTTAAAACATTCAGAACTCCTGAGATGCCTTTTCCCTTCTCTGTTCTTCCCCGTGACGCACTTGGCCTTCTAGACGTCACTGTCATCCCATCCCATTCCCTCAAGACATTACACGCTTGCTGACTCCGTCAATACAGGTTTTTACAAAGTCCAGGCCTCGTTCCAAGCAAGAGGGACATGGACAAGTTCATGTAACAACGCTGCTTGCCCAGGCTTTGGTCATTTCTAGTGGGCCTCTCGTGCTTTATCCTACAGCAAGGCTTCCAAACCCCGTTCTATAGTCCCCACGCTTTTTAATCAGATCAACAGCTTCTTTAAGGAAATTCCCACTACTACATAATTGTCATTTCTCACCTCCCTTAAAATCTTAAGATTTCTTTTGAGAGTGTGTGCACACATGCATTGGCGCAAGGGGCGGCAGGAGGGAGAAACTTCAGCAGCTCCCGTGCACAGCGCCGACCCCGACGTGGGGCTCAGTCTCATGACCCTGAGATCATGACCAGAGCTGAGTTCGAGTTCGACGTTTAACTGACCGAGCCACCGGGTGCCCCATGACCTCCCTTAGACTCCTGCAACTGCCTCCCTTTTTTCTTCCCACTTCAGTGGAAGATGTTTAACCTGTCAGCGTCCCTCCACCTGCTCTCCCGGTCCTGTCGGCCTCTCTCTCCTGCCTGCTGGAGGAAAGCAAACTGCCCCAGGCCCCCGTGTCTCCAGGGGCGAGCACTGTCCGGGTCACGGGGCTGCGTTTCCTTCCCGGCTTTCCCCTTTGTACACAGATTGATGTGGCTGGCATCACACTGCATGCTTTTATATGTGTATTCCTTATTTTGTATGTTTTAAAAATTATATATGTATGGAATCCATATAATCTGTCATATTTGCCTGGAGATGGCTCTGAGGCTGGTTTTGTAGTTACTGATACAACCACCCACTGCTATAAACCTCTTTGTAGAAACAGCAGTTTTTAAAAGCTAGGGTTTTTTTTTTTAATAGTTTCAGGTAAATGTCTCCAGAGGCCACAGGGTATGTATGAATGTTCCGGACGAGTCCCCGCTACGCCTGCTCTCGAACAGGAGACTGGCGCCATCTGAAGGGCCTACCCCAGGGCAGCAGCGGCATATGTCTTTGTTCACCCCAAACCCTCTGTGAAATTAACAGGTGCCTGCCACAGTTTTATAGGTGTGCTGTGGGGCCTCGGGGCTTTAATTACTCTGGACCCTGAACCTTTCCTCTCAAGTGCCTGGCCAGCCACCTCCTCAGGAACTCCCACTTGGCTTCTGCCGAGCTCTGAGTCCTCCCACCCACCCCAGGGAAATCCCTCCCGGACCTGACAGCGTCAGCTCCGGGGTCCACTCAGACCTCTTGGCTCACTTTTCCTCCTGCACTAGTTCTAGGTACAGCCTCTCCCGGGGACCTGTGCTCTTGGCCACCTCCCTTTCCAGATCTCGTGCTCAGGCCTACGCTGGTCCTTGGGAGACAGGAGTGCGGTGAGACAGGAGAGAGCAGTCGTATTAGAGGTGAACATTCTGGGCTTGAAGCCCAGCGTCACAACTCCTTGTCTGACCTGGATCAGGTCTGTCGTCCCCATGCTTCAACTTCCACATCATAAAAGTGGGTCTTTACTGTCTGTCTCCTCTGTAGGAGGCGGGGGAGGGCGGGAGTCCTCTTGAGTCTCCTCGCGGCTCCACACTGTGTCCACTGCCGTCCCGGCCTCACCGCAGCTGGGGGCACCCACACACCCCGGGTCCCTCGAGCCAGGGAATCGATTAAAAGAAATACTTCAGAACATCCCAACTGGACGTTGCCTATTTAGAGTCCGCTGTTGAGGGGTAAAACATTCTGGTCTCAATGTTTCCATCCTTGTAACTGTGACCACTTGATATCTGAACAAACGTGTGAATCCGGGTGCGGATACGGGTGCCGCAAACCCACGCCCGTGGTTCATGGCAGTAGAGCCTGAACTTCACTAAGCGGACATTTCGGGACTCCCGCAATTCACTTCCATCGGCCTCGAGTGCTCCTCGGAATCTGGGCCTCAAACTCGCGGTGGCGGTTCCAGCCCGCCTGCCTTCCCTGCCTTCCCCCGCCCCGCGCCGGCCGCACAGAACCCCAGAACCGACCCGTGCACCTGCAGCCGTGCTCCCCGCGCCCCGAGGCCTCACCTGACGTCTTGTCTTAGCTTTTTGTTTTCCCTGTGGTGAAGCAGCCATTTCCACCTCCCGTTTCTGTTCAGCTTCTCCAGGGTCCTGACCATGTCCTTCAGCTGAGCTACAGACAGAAGAGAAGGTCTAGTCGGAGGCCGGGAACTGTGACCCGTGGGGAGGCAGACACCGGCCGGCGCGCCCGGTCCCCCGCCCGCTGCACACCCAGGCCTGCTGCCCGTCCCGCCCTTCCCCCCCCGCCCCCCGACACCCATCACGTGCAGGCGACAAGCGGGAAGTCCAGTGGCGACAAAAAAACACTGGTCTAGCTTGCAACTCCTCTCAACTCCAGTCTCCACACAGAACTCACACTTGTGGGGGTTCCCCCCCTTTTCTGAGCCAGGAGTGGCATCTACAGTGAGCTCTAACGTGACATCAGCGGGGGGAAGTTTCTGCTCATTAGCTCCCGCCCAGTGCTGTTCTAACAGCCTTCTCCGTCTAATCACTGCCCAGAGAGAAGGGAATTAGGAGTGTTCAGCACGTAATTGAGAAGGCTTTTAAGAGCTATGTTTCTGATTTCTAGAACATCATCGAGAGGGCAGGGGTGATGACAAGAGACAGAGAAGAGAGGGCTGCTGGGCAAGTGTGGGAGACAAGGAACGGAGAAGCGGGGTGGGTGCTGAAGATAACCAGGTGACACCCGGGAGGCCCAGGGCATGTGCCCTGGGAACGAGAACGACAGCAATCCACGGGAAAACTGCTTAGCCGAGCACGTGGCAAAAACAAAGGCCGCAAAAGGTGGTGGTTGATATTACTTGGAGTTAATTTCTTTTCGATGTAGTAGTATTTGGGTCACTGGGTAAAGAGAAATGGATTTGACTAGATTTCAAAGACAGAACAAGGAAGGAAAATAGAAGACTGACCTAACGTGGCGGTTTCCAGGATCTTGTCATCCGAGACCACAAAGCCTCCCGTCTGAAATAGCTCTTGGTAGGTGTACTCGAGCACGTCCTCAGGGCCGTCCACTCCAGCGAAGAGGACGCTGGGGAAGTGCTTCAGCTTCAGCAAAGAGGGAATCTAGTGAACACAAAAGGATCCCCGGGGAAGAGAGGTTGGTGGGGTCACTTTTATCCAAGGGTTTCAAGATTCAGGGAAGCTGAAAATACACTTAACCTTGATGACTGGGAATTCTGCAACGCCTATCAAAAGCCCCCCAGCGTTTGCATGAGGAACACAGACTCCGTTCACCACACACGCTGCAAACTCCTCCGCGCTCGTCCGTTACAAAGTGGTCTCTGAACCGCACAGGCTGGAGACCGTGCGCGGGGGAAGAGCACCACTCAGCTGTGAGGGCCCCTAACGCGGCGAAGCAGGCGACAGGCTCACACGGCCGTTCACCTCCGGCTCCGCCCCTGCCCGACGGCAGCCCTGCAGCCCAGCCTGGGCGGCGGGGCAGGCAACTCCTTTTATTCAACAGAAACAGTGAAACAAAGACTCAAGGAAACTTTCACAAGTCCTCTTAAAGCAAGATTTACGACTACTGTCGGCATTAAGAGATGGAAGGTTTCGATCTTGGCTGAGGAAGTGTCCCCATGCCGCCCCCCCCCCCCCGTTCGTGGCTCGTGCCCCACGACCCCCTCGGGACGCCCCCGAAAATGCCCGGGACACCTTTCTTGGTAAGAAACAGAGGGGCAGACGTACTTGATGCAGGTGTGACGCTATATCTTCATTTCTGATGACGACTAGCAGCGTGTCATTCTCTCTGTGAAAGCCTTGACAGAAATGCTGCAGGTCAATTTCCGTATGGCCTCCTTTCCTCAGGACACTCTGGAAGATTTAGAAATAAGCATTACTACAGAAAGGGCGTCTGCCCAGAACGCCTCCCAGTCCACTGAGCACAGCAAGAAGCGCACCCCAGTCCCCGAACTACCCCGGACCAGGCACCATCAACGGCAGGCGGTCCTACTTCTGAATGAGCTTTCGCGGCTCACAGTGATGGCTCGGGGCCGTCGCGAACAGCGGGACTTAGAGACTCGTGTGCAAAGGCGAAGCACTTCATAACCGACGCTTTATGTCCAGACAGTGGCCGGCAGCAGACCAAGTCACAGACACGGGACTCTCACCCGATCTGAGGCAGTTACCTTGGGGATGCAGATATTCCCTCTAAAAATGCCACCTCCAGTGAAAATGTTTCTAGAGCTTTTGGAGATGATACCTGCGCGTCCCGTGGAGTGTCACGAGAGCTGGGGGACGAGCCCCAGGCGCGGCGGGGAGAGGCGGCCGGCCGGCCCTGCGCTGCCTGCGGGACAGGCCCCCCCTCCCCCGTCACAGGCCCGACCGGCCGCTGCAGTGCGTCACGAGAAGACGTTCCTTCGCTCTGTCCCCCTTCGTGATGCGGACACTGCTTCTGTCTGAAGGGTTTCTGGAGGTTTCCAGCGCACACCTTGATGTTGCTCCTTGCGCCAGCAACACCATGTCTGACCAGTACTTGCTATTTCCTTTGTAAAAGTACAGTGTCCACCTCCCCTGGATCTCAAAACAACTCCAAGCTTATTTCAATTCTTCGCTCAAAATGCATGGCAACGGATCTTCAAAGAAACACCTCCAGAGAAGAACCGTTTTAACAAAGAGCCCGCTAAAACATTTAAATATAAATCTTTAGCTCTGACTTAATTTACTAATAAACCACCTGAATGAACACATTTTCTGAGACAACACTGTCGCCACATGCCGTGGGGTCGGGGCTTTTCTGTTGTACACTCTGAATTTCCGCAGGGACGAAGGGAAGGACCTCCCAGAGCTTCCTCGTCTTACAGAGAAATGGGGCCTGACGTCCCATCTCCCCCGAATGCCTCAGGACTCTCCAGGACAGAAAGCTTGTCCGGGGTAGCTTTCTGAGGTTTTGAAAACATTCTGCTCTAGGTTATCTTGATGGTACTTTATTCTGAAGCTGATTTTATACCGTGTTCACCTTCCCACTTGAAGATTAGTTTTATCTTTGCACAAAATTTATCATTTTCTGTCGTCAACAGTGGCCACATGATAAGTAAGGATCATGAGACACAGGTGCGCTCCTGGACGCCGCGCGGTGTCTCCAGGTTCTCCAGCTGCGAGGGGCTGAGCGCTGCTACTCCGCTCTCCCTCCTGCACACAAACCCGCATCCCCCGCGCTCCGCCAAGGGTGTGATGGGTGCAGTCGCTTCTGAGAAGATGGAAGCAAACAGAAAGAGGGTATTTTGCTCACTGTGGCTTTGATGCTACTGCATCGACCCCGGACTTATTTCAGTACCACTCAAGGTACGCTGTATGTAATCAGCCAAACAAAATTAACTTCAAGGTAAAAAAAAAAAAAAAAAAATTCATTTTTAGGTCACTTTTGGAGGGCAAGCACCTAAAAAAATGCTTCATTTTTTCCGACTCCACTGCTTACCAAAGTGGCAATGGAAAGACGATGGTGGCACGGCTAGGGGGACAGACCTGGCAACCGTTTATGAAAACCTTGGAAAACCAAAGGATCCTTGATGGGGAATAAAAATCTGTTACTGTATATCACCTAAAATCATATTTAAAGGGTACAAAATAGGAGCCATCAGCGACCTTAGAGAAGAATATGTGTTTGACTCCAGCCTCACACGCCAGCCTGTTAGCCATCACGTTTCCAGTCCATTCCCCACACCGTAAGCCCAAGAGTTTGCTCTCAAACACAAACACGATGTTATTTGTCTTTTAGAAGTAGTGTTCAGGGCCTCCCCGCTACCTCAGGCTAGGCCTCAGGCCTCAGGGGGACCTGTCCCCTGCCCACACCTCCAGATGCGCTCCCTGCGCCCCCCCCCCCCCCCGCTGCGTGCTCCCAGCCGCCCGCCCACCCCGAGGCTTCACACTTGCAGAACTGGCTTCCGCCACCGCGCTCTGCCACGATGGCGGCCACAAACCTCTTCCCATGTTTACTCTTAGTAATTCAACACTCGTGGCTTTGCCAAGTGACGTCACGTGACAGACACTCTGGACTTCCTGGAAGTGCTGACATAGGGAACTCTGGAACAAATCTAGGCGAGCACCAAGAACCGACACACGTATTAGTCTAGCTGTGCACACCTTGCACAAGAGGCCAGCATCGCTTCCTTAAGAAAAAGGCCCCGACCTTCCTGACGAGGCCTGCCACCCTCAAAACAAGGTCCAAACACCCGCGCCGCTACATGGCCTGTCGATTTGACACTGATTTGTATGCTTTTATGAGTGTTTTGCTTGTCCCATTAGCTGGAAGGATCGCCACGTGACGGAAAGGCACCATTTCCCCTCCCCTTACACGCTGGGACTCTCCAACGTATATTAAGGACCGCCTCCTTTGAACTGGCTCCTGCTGGGAGTGTAGAGGGTTGAGGGAGGCGGCGTGTTTGGGGACCAGCTCTGGGTCGGTGCCCCAGGCCGGGAAGAGGGGGCTGGGCGAGGGCTGAGCTGTAGACCAGGAGTGGGACTTCCTCGGGCTGGCGGAGGCATCTGGGATGATGGGAGCCGGCTTTCTGACACACCGGGGTGACGGGGGGTGGGGGGGGGGGGGGGAGCGCTGCTCCTCTGGCAAAGGACAAGCCTCCTGGTGCCGGACCGGACCTGGGGATGCGTGTGCACCCACTCCAGGTTTACAGACATATCCGTAGACGTCCTGGCTCTGCTGCGACGGCCAAGAGGCAGTGACACCCAGTGGCATGGAGTTCAACCAACGCCCGGATACTGACTCCAAATGCTATTCTTCCCTTAAAGAATCAGTGCTCCTTAGAGAAATGGCAGACTACAAGGCTGGGTCAAGGAATATAGGAGATAAATCTAGAACATGGAGTTGTACCACAAAGGGAGAGATAAGGAAGGATCCAAACAGTTATGGGGACTTGTCAGAAGGACTCCCACTGGCTGGGTCTGGAACAATCTGAGCATTACCATAAATAATGAAGGACCAAGACAAATATTGCTGAAATGTCCATACGACCCAAAGCAATCTACACATTTCATTCAATCCCTATCAAAATACCAACCGCATTTTTCACAGAACCACAACAAAGAATCTATGGAAACACAAGAGACCCTGAACAGCCAAAGCAATCTTGAAAAGGAAAAACAAAACCGGAGGCATCACATTTCCAGATTTCAAGTTATATTACAAAACAGTAATGACTAAAACAACACAGTACTGGCACAAAAACAGACACACAGGGGGCGCCTGGGTGGCTCAGTTGTTGGGCGTCTGCCTTCGGCTCGGGTCGCGATCCCAGGGTCCTGGGATCGAGCCCCGCATCGGGCTCCCTGCTCCGCGGGAAGCCTGCTTCTCCCTCTCCCTCTCCCCCTGCTTGTGTTCCCGCTCTCGATCGCTCTCTGTCAAATAAATAAATAAAATCTTTAAAAAAAAACAAAAACAAAAACAGACACATAGAACAAGGAATAGAACAGAAAACCCGGAAATAAACCCACGACTATATAATCAATCTTCGACAAAACAGAAAAGAATATCTAATGGGAAAAAGACTCTTCAGCAAATGGTTTGGGAAAACTGGACATCCATATGCAGAAGAACAAAACTGCACCACTTTCTTACACCACACACAAAAACAAATTCAAAGTGGATGAAAGACCTAAATGTGAGACCTTTTGAAACCATAAAAATCCTAGCACAGAGCACAGGCAGTAACCTCTTTCACATCAGCCATAACAACTTCTTACTAGACATGTCTCCTGAGGCAAGGGAAACAGAAGCAAACATGAACTATTGGGACAACATCAAAATAAACAGCTTTTGCACAATGAAGGAAACAATCAACAAAACCAAAAGGCAACCTACTGAATGGGAGAAGATATTTGCAAATAACATCTCTGATAAAGGGTTAGTATCCAAAATATATAAAGAACTCATCAAACTCAATACCCCCAAAAACAAATAATCCAATTACAAAATAGGCAGAAGGTATGAACAGCCATTTCTCCAAAGACACACAGATGGCTAACAGACACATGAAAAGATGCTCAACATCACTGATCATCAGGGAAATGCAAATCAAAACTATAATGAGATACCACCTTGCACCTGTCAGAATGGCTAAACTGAACAACACAAGAAGAGCGCCTGGCTGGCTCAGTTGGAGGATTGCGCAATTCTCGATCTTGGGGTTGTGAGTTTGAACCCCACATAGGGTGCTGGAGATTAATTAAATAATAAAAAAAAAAACCTTTAAAAAACCCCCACAAGAAATAAGTGCTGGCAAGGATATGGAGAAAAAGGAACCCTGTGCACTGTTGGTGGGAATGCAAGCTGGTGCAGCCACTTTGCAAATAGTATGGCAGTTCCTTAGAAAGTTAAAAATAGAACTACCCTACGATCCAGCAATCCCACTACTGGGTATCTACTCAAAGAATACAAAAACACTAATTCAAAGGGGTACATGTACTCCTATGTTTATTGCAGCATTATCTATAATAAATTAAGGAAGCAGCCCAAGCATCCATTGACTGCTGAATGGATAAAGAAGATGTGTGTGTACACATGTATGTACGTACGTGTACACACACACACACACACACACACACACACGGGAATATTACTCAGCCATAAAAAAGAATGAACTCTTGCCATTTTCAATGACGTGGATGGAGCCATGCTGAGTGAAATGTCAGTCAGAGAAGGACAAAGACCACAGGATCTCATATGTGGAGTTGAAGAAACAGAACAAAGGGAAAAAGAGAGAGAGAAAAACCAGGAAACAGACTCTGAACTACACAGAACACACTGCTGGTCACTGGAGGGAAAGGGGAGGGAGGTGGGGGTTAAAGAGTACACTTAGAATGAACAAAAAATGATGAGAGACTGGATGGTAACTCTAAGTAAAATTATATGGAATGTGGGCCCATGGGGTATAAATAAGCGTATGCGGGAGAAGGGAAAGCTCTACCCTGCAGAACACCCACTAATAAACGTACAAGGAAGGATGGAATCGAAACCACCCCCCCCCCCCCGCAACTATCTTATTAGTAGCTGCTTCAGGCAACCGTCAATGGATATTCACTCGGGTGGGTGAAAGTCTGATGCAGAACAGGATATTTTTATATATCCTAGTCTCCCTCCCCACTCATTAATAATTACAGCACATTTGTTAACTTTACACTGGAGGTGGAGGAACCTGGCAGAAACCATCTTCACGGGAAAGAAATTAATACGGAGAGTGGGCCAAGTTGACGCGGTGCACTAAGAGGAGAACATCGCATGTGGGTATTTTCATCTAAAATGCCGAAATCATGAGGAAACAGGAGATGCACATAAACTGAAGGAAACTCACATAACTGGCCTACATCCTTCAATACTGTCAAGGTCACCAAAAATGACACATGACAGAGGAACTACTCCAGACTGATGGAAATAGACACGACAAGCAGAGGTGACACATGACGCGGGACCAACGATGGGGTCTGGGATTTCCCGGGAACACTTATATGCAGATAAAGTCGGAGCTGTCAGACTCAAAGGCCACTTCCCGTCAGGATTTCTCTCTGAAGCCGTGAACGCTAAATGTACGAGCTCTAAGACAAAGTCAGACAGCGACCGGAACCATGCAAGTTCTAGGGGTAAGCTGGCACTGTACCTTTGTTCTCACAAAGAATGACTGGTCTTCGGTCTCCAGGACGTAGAACAGGAAGGGGCTCTTACAGGCCTCTTGGACCACACTCTTCAGTTTGACGTGCAAACTGGTGCACAGGTCTGTGATCATGTCTTCATAGGAGGCTGCCCGTGGGAAAGAGGAATACAGCTCTCGGGAGGAGGCTTCTCCAGAAGCCATGGTGGACTCTTTCTCGGGGAAAACGACCGGGTTGCTATTCATCATCACCTTGTTGAATTCAGCGTACTCATTGAGAATAAGTGAAATATCGTTCCGGGATTCTTTTAAAGTAGTGTTATATTTCAGTTTGTTGAGGTGGAATGAAACAGTCTGATTTCTTTCGGAATTTGCAAGATGATTTCTATTGTGACCACAGCTCTCCTTCCAAAAGGAAGAACTGTCCAAACTGCCGAGCGCGTGGCCGGTCCTGCGCGGGCCCTGCTGCCGGGAGCCTGAGTGCACCACTGTTACCACAAGGGGGCTTCTGCTGCGGGATGCAAGGTGCAGAGCCGGGGACTCGGGCACTGTTGTCAGAGGGAAGGCTCCAGCACCAGTTAGAGGGGGCTCCTTTGGAAAGACATTGGTGGAGGAGGCAGAATGATGAGAATCGCCCTTCTTTACAATTTGTTTTAGCTTATGTGCAAAACGCAGATACTCCAGATCTAAAGTGTTCTGGGTGAGGTCATCTGCCACCTGCCAGGTATCTGTCCAGGAGCTGAGCAAGCCACATTTTGCAGTGAAATTGGGGTGCCTCTTCAGGCTGTGCAAAGTTCTCGTGGTATCTGTGAGCTCTCTAGTTACGGTGAAATTAGCGTAAGTCCTGGGGATGCCACGGAGGTCTCGGATCTGGATATAAGATGGCACACACCTCTCTTCTTTCTTGAATCCAACGAGCCAGTGTCTGGGAGCAATGCCCGTCTCCAGCCCTGGGGCATGGGCAGAGTAGCCCCACTCTTCATTATCACTGTTATTTAGGCTCAGGAAAGAGTCATAATCCTCTTTTGAAGCATCTTCTTCTTTCTTGGTTTGACTATACCTCAAAGTGCAGGAAGCCTCTCCCTCTGATTTGGGATTTCTGCAGTCCCAAGAGTCTAGATCGGACTCTGCAGAAAGTGGCTCACAACGGACGTCAGAATTCACACAGACACCCACGCCCCCACCCACGGTCCCCGAGTCCTCCTCGGCTCTAAGCCCCTCACCAGAGCCCTTATCTGCTGTCTGCTCTTCAGACACTCCACCAACAAGAGGGGCACAAGACTGGGGAACGACGGAAGCACAGGGCTCTCTACTGGTATTTTCACCGGTGATGGCTGTTTCATGGTATGAATCCCCAGGTACACACATGGGGAAAAGCCCAGCGTTCAGCAGATCTTTTGTTTCACACACTGCCCTATCTTGCAGCCCATGAATTGTTTTTTGTTTGCCTTTTGGAGATGTGGTGCTTGACTGGGAGTCAACACTTCCTAGATCTGTGATTTCTTCATGGAATTTGGCCTCAGTGTCACTATTCTTCAGCAAACTGGCCATTCTGACTACTGAGACTTCCTGTGTCTGGAACCCGGTTTCTGTGTTCGTGGGTCTGGGACAGTGGGGTAAGGCAGCACCATCTGAGGGAAAAGCAAGTTTGGGGATCTCTGAGTGTCCGTGTGTCCGTGTATCAGCTCCACCAACTGAGCCAGAGCTCAAGGACTGAGCTTGCACGTAAACGCCTTCATCTGTCTTCCCATCACTGCTAAAGAGATTTTTAATACTTTTAGGGCTGGTCGGCTGTCTTAGTGACACATTCACTGTACCACTTGGAGCAGTTGTAGAAACAAATGTGTCTGCCAAAAACTTATTTTCAGTCATTTTTCTAGGACTAAATGGAGGCTCACCGGTCTCCAAGACAAGAGGACTTAAATTCCTGTTCTGTACGCTAACTGGCTGCAGTGGATTTCCCGATGTCACCAATTTTTCTAGAGAAGGCTTGATGTCCTCTCCGTGTTTGGCAGCTGGGGCAGGCTGGCCCAGCTCCGTATCACAGCATGGCACCTTTTCTGAGAAAGACAAACCCTCACCCTCACCGTGCTCCCCTGGGACAATTTCCTCAGTTACTTTACCAGGAAGGGTCAAATGGCCATCTTTTCTTTCTGGATGCTTACTTCCTACTAGTGGCATTTCAGCAGAAAGCTGCATTTGCTGGACTCTAGTTAGGTTATCTTGTCCCACTGGATGGACAGGACCAACAAAAGAATTTCCTTTCTCCGTGAAGGCCGAATCTACCGACTCGATCCGGGAGAATCTGGCATTTGTCTCCCGCTGTGTATCGGCCAGTTGTAAACTACACAGAGGCAAGGCCTGAGATGGCTGTGCTGCTTCGACCGGATCCTGAGGGTCAGGACTGGAAGCTGGTGACACTTCTTCAATTAAAGAGGCAAAGGGAAAGTCTGAGGTAACGTTCACTTCCTCTGCAATCTCAAGGGCGCAAGTTTCTTTAGAAAGTATTAAGGTAACTGTTTGTAAATTATCACCTTTTCTCTCCTTACTTTCTAACGATTTCTCTGGCACTGTAGGGAATACGGATGTAAAATCAGCAGAATCCACTTCTGGGTTTTCTAGGAGAGTCACCTCTTCTGGCCTGATTATCTCTTCGGTCGCATCCTGAAGTTCCAGATTCGACACGGGGGCCTCCTGCCTCAGCTCTAGTCCCCCCGCAGGCATCTCTTCTCTGGGGCTGGTGGGTGGCGATATTGTGAGAGTGAGGTCAATGTCAGAATCGTCCTCGGAGAACTCCAGGCTGGCCTCCTCTCTACTCACAGAGAGGCTGGTTTGCTTGGTAAAAGCTGAATCGAAGGGTTCAAAATTCCTATGTTCACTCTTTAGAGCACTCCTGTCACTCACTGGTTCCGAGGAGCTACCTGCCGTATCGCCCTTTGGCGGAATGCAGTTATGTGAGGCATTTCTTCCCAAAGTGGTGGAGGCAGATGCCGAGACCACTTCTTCAACCTGGGATGGCTCTATGATTTCTTCCGAAGATATGCCAAGGAGACTCTGAGTCTGCAGGAAAAATTCTTGAGTGAGTTTCATTTCTTCCCTGGGTGATGAATAATTAGAACTTTTAACTAATGACAACGCCTCAGCTACCCTCGAATTATCAGATGGTGATGATAAGCTTGGAGCGGGAATCTCTTTCTGTAGCGAACACGAACACATTTCTTTTGCAAGTGTCTCTTTACTAACTGAGGAGGCACAAAGGTACTTAGTGCCTTTTTGTTTGGACATTGCTGGAGAGGGAACATCCCTAAGGCCTTGTGTTTGTGCCTTTTCAAATGACACAGGATGTCTAAGACTCGGAGCAGGTGACACTTGCTTAATCAACTCCGTATTAAAGGTTGTAGGTTCATCGCTTCTATTTGCAACTTCTGTCTGTATTGGTACATAGGTGTTTTTTTCAAAAGTGAATGTAACTGGTTCCAGATTAATCATCACATACTCTGTATCATCCTTACTCTCCAATGAAGGCTGACATTCTTTGCTCATGGGGCTGCTCTGCTGGATGAGGCCCTGTAAAGCACTAGTTTTTGTTTGCACTGCTGCATGAAAAATATCAACTTTGCTTTCAAGGGTGCTGTACACAGACTTCTGACAAGTCACCGACTGACTGCTGAGCCCATCGTAAGTCTTGCTGAATGTGGTTTGTGTGATAGTATCATTGTGAGTCACTCTTGTGCTATCAAGTGGCTCAAAGGTTTTATCTTCACTAGGAATAGAAGGTCCATTAGTTTGGGTACTTCCAAGATTAGAAGTCTCTAGTTTATCTGATGGGTCTTGTTTGGCTTTACCCCCCATTATCTGAAATGACAAAAAGAAAAATCAAGAGTCAAATAGACTTTTTTCACATCACTTATGGTGAAGAACAGAGTGGACAAGAATCAATGTCTGTTCTTTTGAATCTTTTAATCTTTAAGAATATCACAGGGTAGAAATCAAGCAAATCCCTCTCTTTTTAGGCAGACTTACAACCCAGCCCAAAATAGGAATTTTTCTTTAAATATACACACAAATGAGAGTTTCAAACCTTTAACTGCACAGTCTATTTTTTTTTTTTTAATTGACTTTTGGGAAGAAAAGTGGCTAGACCAGTGACAATGCAAAGACCTGAAAATGCAGCCTGTTTGCTAACTAGCATCACCTAATGCAGAAATGCAGTACTAGAGAAAAAAGGACTCAGTTTTAAGTGTTTTTCAGTAAGATTAAAAGATAGTTTTTAAAGCAAAGAATAACTTATTTTAAACACCAGCTTTCAATCAGACCACAAATACACTGTCATCTGGAACTCTCCCATGAGGAAAGAGTAAATTATGATCTCTTGTAGTATGACTGATGAGCAGTTTTTCGAGGGTGTCAATCTCCATTCTGGTAAATAAAGATCCCTCACTCCTTAGCTATCTTCTTTGCTTGTAACTCTTTCATTATAGTACCTCCTTTTCAAAAGAACAACAGAAAACACAGTGCAGTTTGCATTAATAAGCCGAACCAAAAGGATTGCTTCAAAGCAGGAAGGATATAGGCTAGACACTAGCGGAATACCTCTGGACATTCTGATGACCTCATAAACAGCCTGTTTTAAGGCTGAAGCATGGTCTTGTCCAGAATATGGTAAAATGGACTGACCATCACTGACCATACACCTGTAATATTTGGAACATTATGGTCACAGATTTCCTGCCACGTCTTGAGGCGATCATACTCAAAGTCAGGACCTGGGTTTCAAATCTGTTAAAAAGACTTCTGTCTTAAACAAAGACAGACACTGATCCACATAAATGGCAGGGTAGAGTGGAGACTCAGAGTTTTAAGAGGACATGACTGGCCAGACACAAAGCACAGAAGAGTCTTGATGGTAAGAGTCATTCTGAAAACTTTCCTGTGACCCTTCAATCATGCTGTGGCTGCTAATCTCACCAGGCCTGTGGACTTCGTGAAATGCAAATTGTCATCAACTTCCTATGTTTATATTGATGGATATTTTTTATTACTGGCGAAGTGCAGTATGTTTAACATAAAGTCTGGTACTTAAAAAGAACTTATTTTATTTTTTTCTTATTTAGTTCATTAACCCACAAATTTAAACACATGACTAAGAGCAACATGCCAATGGTTTCTAATGCCTATGGTGCTGGAGTTCTCGTCACATCTATTTGCCCACGTGGGGAAGGCAGCAGGGGATAGTCCATGTGCACACACCTTTAAAGTATGGGCATAGTAGCCAAGGAGATGATGGAAAAAAACTTAAGTATATGCTATAGAAATTAATTTTAATACTCTCTCTACTTCTTAATACTGTTTCACATTTGCAAAAACACCATTCCTAGAATTAGTAATGATGATGGTGATTACAGATTAAAACAAAAAATACTTTATCAGGTAGTAATCAAAGTCTTCTAAACTATATATTTTTTTTTAATTTTTTAAAGATTTTATTTATTTGAGAGAGAGAATGAGAGACTAAGTGTTTGGTATTATTAATCCTTTACACAGAGAATCCATCTTCCTAAAAGAAACCAATAACATGTTTTGAATGTGATTTTACATATCAAGAAAAAAAAAGAAATTTCTTCAAAAATGTCAGCACATACAGTATTCAGCTTTACTTACCTCATTATTACAAGAATAAATGAAATTCTGGCTTTCTGGGGAAACTGGATGACCCTCTTCTGCAAAAATTTCTTTCTGTTCATTCTGTACCCAGAATTCCAAGCCTCCTGTGGGTGGTGGTTTCATGAAGGGAAGCAAGGAGTTAGTGTCAGGGAAGGACATGTCGGCAGCATGACCTGTGGGAGTTTCACTGGTCTCCAACAGAGGGTCTACAGAACATCTTTCCACACTGGAGGACTCCTCAATTTCACTGAATTCAAAAGATTCTAATGTGCTATTTATAGACACATATTTTGCTGGGTTGCTGTGTTCTACCACTTTTCGGGATGACCGTATGACTTTGTTCTGATTGCTGTAAAACAGAGCTACCCACATATGAAGTAAAAGCTTCACTTCTTCCACGTTATCAGGTAAGTCAGTGTTCCAGGGCCTGAGATTTTAAAGAAAAAACATGCGAAAAAATCACTGAAATTGGTGATTCTAATCTTAGTTTTAAATGTGCTCATTTTTATATTAAAAACACACAAACTTGAAACAATGAATAAGATAAAAATGAAGTTAATGTAACAAAAAATAACAATGAATCTAATCCCCTCACTTAACAGAGGCAGAAGAGGGAACTGAAAATCAGAGCTTTGAAAAGTAATTTCTTTTAGATCACGAAACCCTTACGCGGTAGAGCCATGACTCGAACAGAGGTCTCCGGGGTCCTGGTCTAGGATTTTTCTTTTACTCCACTCCAACTCTCTCTGGACACAATATACCTATTATGTGAATAATGGCTCCAGCAACCACCCAAATCCTCATTTTTGCCAAGTATGGCCAACTCATTTCTATTTTTGTCTGTTTCTTCTAATAGTTGGGAAAGTCTGAAGATTAAAATATCTCTGGCAGAACTACACTATTTTCAGATTACAGTCCTGGAAAATCTGAAACCACACAGGGAGAAAACATTTCAGGCCATTTGCCCGGCAAAAGTAAAGCAGAGAGTGGCAGTGTGAGAGTCAGAGGGGCTGCAGAGCTGGGCTTCAGGTAAGCAGGATGAAGGCTATGGAAATGACTGTCCTGAGTAGATGCAAAACGTTAGGTCGACGCTCCCATTAGTGCAAGCTTGTAACCGGAGCACGGAGAAAAGTCTGACACAATTGAGTCGCTCCTAGGTGAAACACTCCACGAAGAGGAAGCTGAGTGCCATTCCCTACAGTGAGCGCTCGTTGGGAATAGTAATGGTTACCACTTACCAGTATGTGCCAGTCACTGCGCAAAACCCTCCAGTACACAGCAACCTCACTTATAGCTATTACTAACCCATCCTTCAAAGGGTTCCCCACAGACTGCCATGCTCCACTGGCTTCACCTGGAAATCTGTTAGAAATGTAGACTCGGAGGCCCAGAGGCCCATCCCAAAGAGACTTGAGTCACAATCTGCACTTGAATGAAATCTCTAAATAAGCTGTCAGACGGTAAAGATTGAGAAGCACTACCCCAAAGAACAGGAACCTCTTCTAGGTTACAGAAGCTAGTTAAGTGGGAGAACCTACGTTAAAAACCTGGGTCAGCCCATACTCCAAAGCCTGTGCCTTCAGTCCCTCTGCTGTTACTGCCTTTGCCCCTTAAAGATTTACAGAACAACCCCATGTAAACCTGCTCACACAGAACAATCTGACCAGCTTAACAAGCTAGAAGTAATTCTTGAAATGTTTCTTCCGGAATTCAGGCTGTAAAGCATTATTTCTCTACCTCACGATTTTACATTGAGATCTCATTTAAATATTGTAATTCAAAGACCACAAAGGCTTATGTAGGAGCATCTCAAAATGGAAAGCCATTCACAGGGTTAAAGTCAGCTTGCAAAAGGTCTCCATGTGACCACCGACAGGGGCAAAACCAGCCTCATTTTCTTAGTTGTCAGTAAACATGACTGCCTGTTATTATTACTAAGTTACTGGATTCACACACAGGACTTCACTTTGTCCAAAGTCTGGCACAAGGATTCCTTCCCACTGCGCTTATCTCAACACAAAAGTCACGTCCGTTTTCATGGAGTGTCACTCCTACTTACCCATGTAGTGCTCGGATTACAGTTTTCTCCAGCGGGTTGTTGGTATATTTGCTGTCCAAGCTGAACACATACTCCGTGTCACATTTGAAAGTGACCTTAAAGGAGCCGTCACAGCAGAACACAGTATGAGAGCAGTGAAAGTCCTTCAGGCTGGAGGACAGCAATCTGCTCCTGCGCTTGAGCACCAGGTCCTCGGACAGCTTCTGCAGCGGGGACGCGCTCTGCTGGTGCCGGAATGGCATTACTTTCCCCACTGGGGTCCCCGCCTCAGGGCCTTTGGGGCTGTTCTTGGCGAAGGCAGGGCTGGAGGTTCCTCTCTGCTGTAGATGCTTCTTTGAATGTTCCGCAAGGAGCAGGGCATAGGAATGTTCCACGGCAACAAAAGAGCTTTGGCTTCCATCATTACTTTCTAGTGTTTCCTCGGAAAGGGCTGATGCGGCTTCCACGGGGGCTGGACTGACAGGAGCCACGCTCTCCTCCTCTTGGCTGACGGGGGAATCGGGCGCCGGACTACTCTTCTTCTCAGAGGAGGGCTTAGGTAACAGTCCACCTTTTTGATTTTTAACTCCTCTGTGATACTCATGGTCAGATGTACCGCACACAGAATGTTCTTTAGAAAGCAAAACATCATTTTGTGGTGATTCAGAAGCGCAGGGAAAGTTCCTAGGTTCAGATGGTGGTGTGGTAGAAGTAGCAGCACTTAATGCTAGGTCAGCTAGCAAATTGAGGGCTTGGGAGTCACAGTTGACAATGGAGTTTTCAGGTAGATCTTTTTGAGCCACCGAGATATCTTCCGTCTGAGTTGCATTTATGCTAATAACATCCTCTTGACCAACTGATGAGATTTCTGATGGAAGTTGTGAACCAGTTTCTCCTTTTGCTTCAGTATAAAAGAAAAAGACATGTAACATTTGATTTCCATATATTTTAATTCTCTGCTATATTACAACTATGGCTTAGTGAAAATCAATGGTTAAGTCAATATACTCAAGAAGAACCTCTGGATAGGTTACATAGATTATAGATTGAAACTTTACTATCAGTCAGGTTTCTTCCAACTGCCAGCTCTAATATAATGTATTTACCGTGGGAACAAATCTTAAGGAGTGTGCATATTGATTTAAAAGGAAATCACCTTTCAAAAGGCATGTACCGAACTACACACAAGGTATACTGATCAGCTAAAGAAATATACAAAGAGGGGAAAAAAAAAAGAATAAAAAACAGGAGTCCTGCCCTCAGAGAGCTTACAATCTAGTGAAAACATAAGAATTTCTAAGTTTGAAGTGTATATTATAGTATGTTAACACACTTTTAGAAAGCATGTCCCTTAACAAGTGCTTTGTTAGAGAAATCACCTAAGTTCAAACTAGACACGACTTTTAACCTTACTGATGTTTCATTAGAATATGTAATGATACAAATAAAAAAATCAGAAGAGTCATAGATTATTCATTCAGAATCACCAATTTCATAAACTTCTAAAACTCTAAATTCTGTACTGAAAACATTTCCTCTCCATTCTGTCTGCAAGTGCAAATCTCCTTGTCTACCGATAATTCTCCTTTCTGTAGATGATCCAATCCACCCATTTGTCTTTGAGCAGAAAGCGACCTTCTACAGTGGCCTACGTGCATTCTCAGGATGTTAGTCCGGCCTCCTTAGAGGCGGCTATCATGAAGGACAGAGTTCACAACAATACTAGGCAACAATTTCCTGCAGCAAGTGCATGGACAGAAAAGCCAACTGTGTTCTTTATAACAGCAGCAGCAGATGTGAAATGAATTATTAACCTTCCTGTAAAGGCCAATGACTACTAATACATTTCAAGAGAAAACCCTGGCCTGTGAGGTCATCAAACAGAATGAGAATGTGTGTGTGTGTGGTGGGAAGGATAAGAGTAATCAACCACTGTCCACTTTTTATTTAAAATAGCAAAATCCAAGGGGATTAGGTGGGTGAAAGTGACCCGAAGCAGAGATATGTCAACAGCCCCACAGATCTACTGGAAACACGAAATCCATTATGTGATCTCTGATGTGTTTATTCACACTAATTTCATTCCATTGTCATTAATATTACGGCTCTTACACAGGGTATCACTTGTGAGTAAAGCCTAATATAAAGAACACTGCACTGAAGAAAAAGGCTTCATTTTAACAGATTATGTGTCTCAGTTAAATCATTTAATTATTGACTTGTTGGAAGTTCTCAATCAGTTAAAAATAGAATACTGATCATCTCTTTTAAAAAATACAAATAAGACAACACCAAATGAAATGTATATAAAATGTAGAGTTCAATAAGTAAAAGCTATACTGAAAACCTTAAAAAGGGCAGAAAAGCACTAGTTTCAGTAACAAAAATGAGCCTTCTTAAATTCTTTAAGTATAAGAAATGAAACAGATTAGTATAGGGGACTAAGAAATAAAAGAAAAATTAAGAGATCATTTAAAAGGTGGCAAGCTTAAAATTTTAACTAGGAATGTGGCTGCACAATATATACAGACATTTACAATACAAATCAGCCTATTTCTGAATACATATTTTAGAAACTTTTCATTTTCTGGGAGCACTTTTCTGCCAATACCCAACTGCATTCCTCCCATTAATCCATTAGTCTACAAATATTTGTACCGATTCAGTACAAATAATTCAAATGACACAGCTCAGCACACAAGGCATTTATATGTGTATCTATGCTCATGATGTTTACAAATTCACTGGAAAAGACAGGACCCAGAATCCCAGAAGGTTGATTTTTCAAGACAGGACCAAGACACATCAAATGATTAGAGAAGAGTACGAATCTGATTCTACGGTGTTCTCAAAAACCCAGGAGGAAATGAAGAAACAGAGAGTTGAGTGAAGACGAGAGCATCGGGAGGCAGGACTAGCTGTGCAGAATGTGGAGGGGAAGTGCACAAGAGCAGAAATCGGGCTGACGTGTGCGGGGAAGCACACAGTACGTGGCAGGACAGAGACACGCTGAACGAGAAACAGCAGGAGGGAAACGAGGAGGTGTGGGGTAAGGCCTCCTTAGGAACCGCCCAAGAGACCAGCAGAGTTTGCATTTGGTATGTATGTGTCTCAAAACTGCAACACTGGGTTTTCGAATCACAGGACGAGCTCTTAAAAAATCGTCACTCACTGAAAACAAAACACACAAAAAAACCCTTCTGTCATAAAACAACATTAAAGAAACTTAGAAAAAAAACACTCTTATCCATAATACCATCAACCCAATAAAGCAGTATTTTCTGAATTCCCACTAACCATGAGGTTTTTTAAAAATCTAAAAATAGGTGAGGGAGAAAGAATCAGGTAGATTAGACAGAAAACTGTAAGAATACAAAGTATCAGGACATTACATCTTTGTTAACAAGAAAAACAACACACATGCAACCGCACAGGCCTCAATATGGAAGATGGAGAGGTCCGAGACTCTTCAGGCTGGAAGAAGCCATACACACACACACACACACACACACACACACGGACGCAAAGTGAGACAGGACGTGGACGTGATGTGAGCTTTGCTTGGGAGGTGAAGACTGTGGGGATGGTGGGGCTTTCTCTCTAGCAGTTGAAAATACAGAACTAGAGCAGGTGGGCATTTGTTCATGTAACTAAACTTTATTATTCACTGTAGCAAAACTAGGAAAGCAAAACTGCTTTTAAAATTAACCTAATGCCTTCTAAAACCAAACACAGGGTTCTGGACTACTGAGTGTCTTCAATGATCTCTAACTCCTTTTGGACAAATAAACTTCTAACCTTCTACTTAACTGATTACGGGCCAGAAAAATATTGCCAGATACTGTCTGTGTGCATTTATTTATAAGGAAGCCTCTCTACACTGACACTCTTGTAGACCATTCACATTCAGGCTTTCTGCAAACTAAAAAGTAGGGTCTACTTTGTGAAGGTCTGAACCTGCACTTAACAGATTTATTTACAACAGGAAACCCACCTACTTAGTCCTGTTAGTCAAGGAAATAACAGGAATTGTTGCTAAATTTCAGCTGTTCTTAGATTATTTCAAATATACTATCTTGCGATCTCAATCAGCCTGCATTGCGGTGTTTAAGTCGACAGGAAGAGCGTTTCTTACCAGGTTGTGGCTGCTTTCTGATTCTGGGATTCTGATTGCCTTTTACTAGATTTACCCTCTGCTTTTGTGGAGATTTCTTCATGGGTGGCTTAGCCCTTGGAACAGTTTTGACTGGAGATTTCTCTTGTTTCCTTGCCCTTTTAGTATTCGTTGCCAGTGGAGCATCTTTAGAAACGGGAGCTGCTTGTTCTTTCCTATGCAGTGTGGTTGTCTGTACAAACTGTGCGGCCGGCATGTCAGCGCCTTCTGTAGAAAACACACCGTTTTAAGGGGCGGGGCTCAAATATTTACCAGTGACAGCTTCTCCTTTGACTTCTTCTGTTTCTTTGCGGGGGGGAGGGGTAACTTTAACAACAGGGAAGAAAATATAAAATTTGGGGTATTTCATTAAAAGATTTTTTTTTTTAACAAAGCATGAGTTAAAAGGTCTCAGATAAATATAAAAACATGGTCTTTCTAAGCGTTGGATATAGCCTGTCAGGTGAAGAAGAATGTCAGAGTAATAGCTTTGTAAAAACAAGGCATGACTTAACTAAAGAAAAAACAATTTTCCATAATCTTTCCTGACTGATGAGGCAGGTGAAGGCTGACAATGGTAGTTCACAGCACTGGGGGATGGAGAATGCAATTTATGGAAAAGCAACCCAGCTCCCATGAGGTGATTAGATGACACTGTAATCGCACTGCAGAGAAGAGACTGTATTCATAAAGAGCCATCTTCTGGTTTCACGTGACTATTCCTAAATATACGAGTCTTAATACCACTGGAAAAATCGTCTCTACAGAGCAGACAGAGGAAGGTCTGCTGAAGAAGCCTCCACCTGATGTAACTTTCTACAAGTCTCATACAAAGTGCTCAGCTTTGCTTCTCACATGGAAGGCAACAGCTAGGAGGCAAGTACATAGAAAAAAACCTCATGACTACCCTGCTAATTTAATAGAAAGCGTTTCAACCTTTTAAGAGTTAAAAAAAAAAAAGTTAATAAATGTTCCCTTTGAAAACTTTTACTTTCAGCTGTTTCCACCAAAAACTTTAGTACCAAAGATATCAATAAAAATATCACAGGTATGAGTGTTGGCAGATATTATACAATTACGTTATACAGAAAACACTACAGTTGACCCTTGAACAACGTTTGAATGGACTTCTTTTAATAAATCTAAGTACACTGCTATAAATGTATTATCTTCCTTTTGATTTTCTTTTTAAAGATTTATTATTTGGGAGAGTGTGCCTGCATGTGCATGCTCGAGTGGGGGGATGGGGGGCAGAGGGAAAGGGAGAGAGTTTCTTAAGCAGACTCCGCACTAAGTGCAGAGCCCAACGTGGGGTTTAATCCCACAACCCTGAGATCATGATCTGAGCTGAAATCAAGAGTCAGACACATAACCGACTGCACCATCCAGGCGCCCCCCTTATGATTTTTTTTTTTAAGATTTTATTTGAGAGAGAGAGAGAGAGAGAGAGAGAAAGCACAAGTGGGGGGGAGGGGCAGAGGAAGGAGAGAGAATCTCCAGCAGACTCCCCGCTGAGTGGGGCTTGATCTCATGACCCTGAGACCACGACCTGAGCTGAAATCAAGAGTTGGATGATTAACCGACTGAGCCACCCAGGGGCCACCGCCCCTTATGATCTTCTTATAGCACTTTCTTTTCTTCAGCTTACATAATTGTAAGAATACAGTATATAATATATAAAACATACAGAGTATGTGTCAATCAGTGATTTGTGTTATCAGTAAGCTCCTGGTCAATAGAAGGTTATCAGGAGTTAAGTTTGGGGAGACAAAAGCTATAGAGATTTTTCCACTGTGTGGGGGGTCAGTTGGCGCCCCTGATGCCTGCGTTGTTCAAGGATCAACTGTATTTCTAATTGAGAAAAGGAAACACGATACTAGTTTAATAAACTGTGATGACTACTAGTGAAATGTAGAAAATAGACCAATTTCATCTCATTCTTTTGGGAGTCTGAGAAAGGGGTGTTTTTTTTTTTTGTTTTGTTTTTTTAAAGCTCTTGCATCTCTTTATGTGGTACACTTCCCTGGGTCTAATTATTTTCCTTCCTACTAAACTATTACAAGTAATAAAGCAACACAGCATTTTGTTTTTTAAGACTTCTCATTCTACTCTATTTTCTAAAATTTTTAGCACAAAAAAGGCAAAATATAAATCAAGCAGGAAAAGTTCAGACTAAATTGAGAAGAGAAAGAAAATAAGACGAGAGGACCAAGAGCTAGGGGAGGCTCCTAGCAGCTGCATAGGCGGGCAGGAAGACTGCACACAACCCAGGTCCTGGGAGGGAAACAGAAACACAGAACAAGGCGATCCTTCAGGGATCATCTGCATCACTCAATGCCATGTTAAAGTTGTAGGCACAATTGGTAGACTGTAAAATAAATTTAATGAGTTGCAACCAGAATCCTTTCTTAAATGAAAGAGAATAGAAAATACTAGATTGTATAGTTAAGGTAAATGTTTTTTGAAATTTTTGTTTCAGTCATGTATATATTTGCATGCACTGGACAATATAACATAAAGCATTTCTTAAAGTGGATGAAATGAAAAACATTTGAGAAACAGTGACAACATGTATGTTGAATTATAGATTATTTAACAGCTTGAAGTAAACTGGTTCATATATAGAAGAAACCCAACACGGTTGGCCTGGAATGTATTTGTAAGTAGTTGTATAGTCTGATTCACTGCTTTATACTGCCACACTTTCCATCCTTCTCACACGCATGTGCGTGTGCACACACACATTGCTTTTCTCAAACTATAATAAGCCAGAAATAACTATCTGTTAAGCCACAGGGTGAAGCCTTAATTATCTAGAATCCTGAGGATCTGCATATTCCTGATGTTTTCCTCTTTAGGCACCAACATTTCTAAATTCAAAATATTATGCATACAGTTAGCAAACCTTTTCTGGGACGGGATGCCAGGACATATTTTTAGCTTTGAAGGTCACATGACTTCAGTCACAGCTGCTCACCTCTGCCAGCAAGGTGTGAAGTAGCCAGAGACAACTGGTAAGTGCTTGAGGGACCCTTTGGCCACAGTTGGTTGACCTCTTCTGTAAGGGGTCACGGAGCATATGGTTCCCTACCTTTAAGCAAAGTACACTCCACACAACTAAGGTGACTCTAAGCCAAAATCACGTGTGTGCGGTGCTGTTTGCCACAGTGCATGTGCCTACGCATTAATGGGCTCCAGACTGATTCCCATTTAATTTACAGGGGGCAACAAGGCCAACTGTAGAACCATTCCAATATACAGGTCTCTAGGCCACTGGACATTGTTTGAACAGGTCTACGGCAGGATCCAGGTGACTATTTTTAAAAACTCTTGATACACACAAAGGATGGGAAATTTTGCCCCAGACTGCTTTAAGTTTGGAGAGTTCAGGGATTTAGTTCCCTCTTTATACATGTTCACACTATTGATTATCATTTCCTGCTGCTACTGGTGAGCCTGGTTTTAGAAGACCCTCTTCTTCCACCCTTATGTGTCCAAGGATAGCTCAGAAACTGGGTCACCTGAGTCACCATTGCTTAGAATGGAGTGTAAACAAGTGACTGACTGTTGGAAGCACTTTACAAATGAACTACGAGTCTTTGGTGAGCGGGCTTTTGAAGTATCTTACAGTTTTTCCTATTTCTTGATATTCATCTGCTAACTAGATCGGTGTTTCTCAAATTTTAGCACATAGACAAATCACCCGGAGAGAAACACTGGCATTTCTAGCAAACTTCTACCTGATACTGCCCAGCTCGGGGCACAACAATCAGTACCACAGCTACTACTAATGCTTATTTCATACTCCACAGAAATCGTACTTACCTCTTTTTCTTTTCTGAGGGAACGGTCCTTTAACTAATTTGAGAGTTGCTGGAGAGTCTGAACCCTTGCTTGCTCCGGCAGGATTTCTTTTGGGGAAGGAGCGGCACAAGCTCACCCTTTTACTCTGCATGGTGGGTGGTACGCTTGCCTTTCTCTTAGGCTGAACTCTCAGATTTGATGCTGCGCTTAACGGAACCAGAGCTCCCTGCCTGGCTTTAAACATTTCTTCAGGATTCTTTTCGGTTTCAGTTTCTTTTCTTACTTCTACCTCTGAGTCAAGAAATTCAGGATCTGGAGTCATAACTAAAGAAAATGCAGCGTCACAAATTCCATCTGAGATACAAGGGGACTGAGGACGGTCTGCCAATAAATCTAACGCAGTAGACACTTCCAAAACATACCCACTAGGGTCTGAAAAATAAGACTTCAACTGAGTTAAAGACTGTGAAGGGCACTTTTCTGCTGGAGGAACCAAGTCAAAGCCATCGGACAGTTGGCCAAAGAATGCAGTCTCTTGAATCCCATCTTGGGAAGTGGCAGTCAGTGAAGGGCCTTGGTCTACCTTGTACAGTTCTTGGAAACCATGCTTTACTAATGTGTTTGGACACACTCCTTCTTCAGTAAATGACTTCTTTGCTTCTAGCAGGGCACAATTAAGGGCAGGTAAAATAGGTGTCACCTTCGATGAGATGTCATCTTCACCTTTCAATTCTTTCAGCCCTAAAACATATACACATACATTCAAACTTCATCTTTTTTTTTTTAATTCTACAAAAACATGCAGGAAGAAAATCCTGTAGTTTACAAAACCATGGGATGGTTAAATATGGTAGTGTTTCATATGGGAATCTAACTGGCAATTAACAGAAGACCTATGGGTACCTTTAATGAATATATGTATCTCTATTTACATGAAATCACTCACACACACACACACATGCAAACCAAAAACGAGTGATTCCAGTGCAATCACTGGGTTAGAATGAGGAAGGCAACTCCACCTCATCTGACCAGGAGCCCAGCATGAGCTCAGGTACCATCGCAGATTTGCTTTCAAGTATTTTCAATGCTCATTTCCTGCTTTTAAAAATCGGTCTTATCTGTACCTTATTTAACTTACTTCAAGTTCTTTTAAAGAAGTTAACAATGCAAACTAAATGACCTGCAGAAAGTAAAACCTTTAAGTAACCCCTAAATCTCATGGTAACTACTGGTGTTAAAATGAAATGAACATTTTTTGGGGGCGCCTGGGTGGCTCAGTTGGTTAAGTGACTGCCTTCGGCTCAGGTCATGACCCTGGAGTCCCAGGATCGAGTCCCACATCGGGCTCCCTGCTCGGCGGGGAGTCTGCTTCTCCCTCTGACCCTCTCCCCTCTCATGTGCTCTCTCTCAAATAAATAAAAATCTTTTAAAAAATTAAATAAACATTTTTTAAAAAGTAAGTAACTAAACCAACTAGTCTTGTGTTCCACTCTCTCTCCTTGGCTCACTCTTTGAATGAAATGCTAATTTTTCAGCAAATCAATAACATAAAGGAAAATAGTAAGAGGGGGAAAAAAGAGAAAAGGTCAGGTCACTGAGAAGTCGGTAATAAAGTCCTAGAAAATGTAAGGCATCAGTAACTCTTAGATAAAAAACCCCACAGATGGGGCGCCTGGGTGGCTCAGTCAGCTAAGCATCTGCTTTCGGCTCAGGTCATGATCCCCGGGTCCTGGGATCAAGCCCCACATCGGACTCCCTGCTCAGCAGGGAGTCTGCTTCTCCCTGCCACTCTGCCTACTTGTGCTCTCTGTCAAATAAATACATAAAATCTTAAAAAAAAAAAAAAACAACAACCCACAGATGACAACGGCCTCTGGTGTCTACTAAACTGAACTGAGTCATGCCACTCTTTTTAAAGAAAAAGTAACTGCAAAATTAAGAAACACCAAGTTAGTCCTAGCTGAATACACTTGCCCTTGAGCCGGTATTACAAAAAGGAAAAGAGCAAACATGGATAAACAGGAAAATGTGACTAAACATTAAAATAAAAATTCCTTTCTTTGAGCAGTTCATCATTTAAAAAGTAACAAGTGGGATGCCTGGGTGGCTCAGTCGGTTAAGCGTCTGCCTTCAGCTCATGATCCCAGGGTCCTGGGATCGAGTCCTACATCGGGCTCCCTGCTTATTGGGTAGTCTGCCTCTCCCCTCCCCTCCTCCCCCACTCGTGCTTTCTCTCAAATAAATAAATAAAATCTTAAAAAAAAAGTAACAAGTGAAGGAAAAATATAAAGAAGTTCTCATATAACACTAACAGTTCACAATCAAGTTGTATTTCTCTAGACTTCATTATTTCAAGTAGGTAGAAAGGTGGAAACAGAATGATTTGTAATAAATCATTATAAATTTATGAAAAAGAACTTTTAAAGCCTGCTAAGCAAAGTGTGCATTTAAAACCACCACAGTTCTGAACCTCTGAATGCACCCATGTAGAAAATATCTCAAGGATCCAGAGAAGGATGTGAACACGGTAGTGTAACCATCCACTGTTCACTCTGCTAGGAGCCCTGTGCTGTGGGACTGTGAGTGGTGTGGGGACCAGTGTTCCTCATTCGGCTGGAAGTACATTTATTTTTTTTTTTAAGATTTTATTTATTTATTCGAGAGAGAGAGAATGAGAGATAGAGAGCACGAGAGGGAAGAGGGTCAGAGGGAGAAGCAGACTCCCCGCCGAGCAGGGAGCCCGATGTGGGACTCGATCCCGGGACTCCATGATCATGACCTGAGTCGAAGGCAGTCGCTTAACCAACTGAGCCACCCAGGCGCCCTGGAAGTACATTTAAAAATAACGATGAAGTCCGAGCTCTCACAGAAGAGGGAGGCAGTATGGGATCGGGGCTGGAAGGCAGCTCGGGAGTCTGCTATCTGACCGTGGGCTAAGTCAGGTCTCAGTCAGTCTGCTCTGAAGCGGTCCTCACACGCAGACTTGCTGTCAGAGCCACTAAGCCAGCCACCCCGGCACAATGCTGGACACAGCAAATGCTTGAGAAGTGCACACAGCTACTGCCATTGTGTTCTTATAACTGCTAATGTTGTGCTTCATCCAAAGTGATGCCCGAGACAGTATAGTTCTCTGCTTTGAGTAACTCAATACAATTTTTAAAAATCAACTTTAAAAACTTTTGTATTGGTTGTAGCTTTATAAATACTATATATAATTTTGTGTTTAAAGATATACAGTGTGATTATAAAATATGAAGGAAATATCCTCATAGGATAAAAAGAAGTAACTCGTTTACATTCATTTATTTGTTCAGCAAACATCTGTGATTTAAGTTTTTTTTTTTTTTTTTTTTTTTTTTAGTACTCTCTACACCCAACACAGCGCTCAAACTCATAACCCTGAGATCAAGAGTCACATGCTCTTCCAAATGAGTCAGCCAGGGCCCCGACATTTGTTATTTTTCAGTTGCCTGGCACCAGTAGGTGATAGGAATACAGTAAAATACAAGAAAAGCAAGCCTTAAATAATTATACAAAGAAATACTGAAATGATACTGCTGATAAGCCCGGAGGTCCCACGGAGGGAAGGGTGGTGGCTGGAAGCAAAAGCATGATATTAAGTGGACCTGACAGGCAGGAATAACAGGCTCCAGGGGTACTTCTCTGATTTCAGTCCTTAGCTCCCCTGCCTCAGAGACCTTTTAGACTTTGTTTCCTGATCACCCTCCAAAATTTTAATACCACAGATACACCTATTTATATCCTGTAGGAGTTATATTTTTTTGTCCCCATGAGCCAATCCGTGGTCCCATAGGGGCCAACTTCACCTGACGAAGGGGAAGGAGATGAGCAGTCCAGACAGAGGGAGCTGTGTCTGTGAAGGTCCCGAGTCCTATTTGCTGGGTGGATGGTGATGACCGTATCCCCCAGCTACTGCTGTTCACTAGCACGGGGAGTTCTATTCAGGGCGTGCTGAATTTGAGGAACACCTGAGACATCTAAGTGAACATGTCAACAGGCAGCAGAATATGGGCATGTGAAGCTCAGAGGAAAGTCTAGGTCTGCGAAGGAGACAAAGAGGGATCACCCAGGGAGGTTAAAGGAGAGTGATTTCAGAGCAGAAAACAGTTACGAGGGTCAAGTGCTGCTGAGAGGTCAAGATGAAGACTGAAAAATATCCCCCAGACTCCATGAACTGGACGTCACTGTGCCCTTACCTGCTGGAAGGGATGGATGGAATAAATGTAACCCATGTAGACCCGTCTGCCCACCTCCAAAATCTACAGAGAATGAAAATCGTAAGAAAAGTTAGGTTGTTGATCTTATAAAACAAAAGTAAACATACTGAAAAATAGTTTTTCAAAAAAGTTGTCCTTACGTGTTTCTGGTATTAAGGCTGATGATGTAAGTAAGATGAAAAACCCCCGATCTTCTAAGCATTTGATGATTGCCTTAAACATTAAAAAAAAAAAAAAAGTGAAAGAAGATTCAGTCCCTCTCTCCTTCTCCCTCTACCACACTCTGCAATGAATTGTGAGGTTATGAAAAGTATAAATATAAAACAATTCTCGAAATGTTAGTGTTTCTAAGAATCAGGAGAATTTTGTCCCCAGTACCAGAAACTGCAAATTCCTTAGTCCTCAAATAATCTTGGCCCTGTGAGGCCTACATATAAGAACCAGAACATCAAGGTTAGTTTTAGGATAGTGTTCAACTATGTAACAAATCAATTAGAAAAGACATTTCAGTTTTTCATTAAGATGCTTGACATTTCATTCTGCCTAAGTAGCCAATCTGTCACCATTCAGCCACTACAAATTCAAGGTGACTCAGATCTGGGATTAGCCTCTTAAGCTCCTGTTTACACAAAAAATATCACAGAATCCTGGAACTCAAGACTGGAAGATACCATCCAATAAAATAATCCTTTCTATAGCATCCTAAGAGAAGAAAATAATAGTAAATAACATAATTAGGTCCCGTGGCACAAGAGATGCAGATAAAAATAAATTCCTCCTCCTGTTTCCCTCTATCACAGTCTTCAGGGGAATCTGGAGCTCAAGAAAAAAAAAATCCTGAAATTTTCATGTTTCCAGTAACTCTGGAAATTTTTCCCCAGATAGTGGGGAAGTTATCCAAAAGTTGCCATTGTAAATCATAAAGATAACAGCTTTTCCATTAGTCACCATTTCAAAAGCTTATATATCCATAACAAAGAGAAAATCCAATGTTCATATAGTAATTTTTCAGTTAAAAAAGAAACAAACAAAATACACCATTTTTTAGAATAAAGTGAGAAAACATTCTATTTCAAAGATTGATAGGTCGTAAGCCTACAAAAATGGGGAATCAATAAATTATTCAATAACAAAGTATGAAAAAGACTTCCGATGATTACATCCACAGGAACACTCATTCCACACGCTTCTGCGATAGCCCCTGGGCACCTGATAGTTTCTGCTTTTGTTTCCTCCAGTCTTACAAATTCTATGATGGCAGGGACTGTATTTGTATTTATGCTTCTGGCGCACAGTAGGGACTAAAGAAATAATTATTGAATAAATATACCAGTAGTTATATATACCCATAGCTTTGGTACCTAGTAAACTGCAGGTATAATTCTGGCTTCATTTTCTACTACTATAAAAAGTGAAAGTGACAAGAGAGTTAGCCTCTACATCATTCTGCATTTTAGTTTTGTGATACAGATGAAATGTACAAATAAAACAGAAATATATATCTTACTGGTCTCTCAGATTATGTACTGAAAGGGCTAAAGTTCCTATTTTAACCTTTGTGGGAGAAATCATACAATCTTTTACATATCTGCTAGACTTTTCCATTTACACACAGAAAATATAGCCATACATGTCCTTAAGACCCTGTTAAAAAGAGACCTTGGTTGGTACTGTTCTTGAAGGTCAGTGTTCTGGGTACAAGCCCACATATACTTTATTCAAGGGACATCTATTGCTTGTCCTCTATACACCAGGCACGGGCACTAAGGTGTCAAAGATGCTTAAGATATGATAACTGCCCTCAAGGTACTCAATCTCTAGGTGGGGACACAGATATGTAAAAATTATTCATACAATGATGAGGCAAGAAAAAAAAAGCATGGGAGCTACAGAGTATAATGCTAAGTGAAGTTAAGTCAGTCAGTCAGAGAAAGACAAATACCGTATGATTTCATTCAACATGTGGAATTTCTAAGAAACAAAACAAATAAGCAAAGGCGAAAGAGAGAGAGAGAGAGAAAACAAGAAACGGACTCCTAATGCTAGAGAACACACTGCTGGGTACCAGAGGGGAGATGGACGGGGGGTAGGGGAAATAGGTGATGGGGATGAAGGAGTGCACCTGTTGTGATGAGCACCGGGTGATGTATGGAAGTGTTGACTCACAGTACTGTACACCTGAAACTAATATAATACTGTATGTTAACCAACTGAAATTAAAATAAAAACTTAAAAAATAAAAAAAAAGAAGAAAAAGCATGGACATCAAGGAGGAAGGACCTGATGTGATTTGTGCATCAGGTCTCTGCTACTTTTGATATCATTTGCACTTACAAACAGTCGCTTCATGAATGTTCTGAAAACATTTTTGGACTCTCTTCCTTTTAATTTCCAAAGAGAAAATGGACTATGCTACTGCAAAACAAGAGAGCCTACAATCCCCCAGCAGACACTCAACGGCCATCTGCTTAGCATCCACTGCTGCCCAGCCGATTCCCCTGTGCTGAGGAGCACTGCCACAGACTCAGCAGGACTGACCCTGGACCCAGTCCTGGCAGGTGGGCTCAGGATGGCTTGTGCAGGTCAAGGCACCCCATTCCCTGTTAGTTACTGGACAAGGGACGTGCAGATGACATACACTGGTCTAATGAAACTGAAGTGAAGGTGAGGAGGGGCCTGCTCTCTCCAGATGCACAAAGGAAGCATGTCGCCCCGAGTGGCAGCCTCAGGACAAAACTAGTGCACAGAGCAGAGTGAGGTGAAACACAAAGTCCTGAGCAAACAGTACTTGAACTGGTCTTATCACCTAGAATTGAAAAAAAGCCTGTTCAGTCCTGTAACTATTTAAGCCAGCTTGGGTTTCTGTCACAAGTAACTCCAAGTATCTTAACTGGCTGCCCCTAAGACCCCTTATCTTCACAGCTTGGACATAGGTCCTATTTTCACTTACTGATTTCTTGCTATCTACGATGGGGATAGTCCAGCATGCCACTAATGCGCTCACATGTTTAGATCGCTGTCCCACACTCACACCATCTCCCTTGGGATGTTTAGGTCTCACTCATAAAAAGTCACCCTCTACTCATTCCTCACACTGAGGAACCCTGGTTGACAAAATGGAGAAAGTCTCTGACTGTTACATATTTCTCATTTGTGGCTTACTTTCTATAATATGGAAACAGTAGGAGCACTAGCATTTGATTTTTTTTTTCCTTACATACCTATAGATCAACACAGGTCACTTTTAAAGTATCTCACAAGTGGTCCTTTGATTAACTCAGAAACACTAGGGATCTACTCAATTCCCTTGTCATAAAACAACAATAACAACAACAAAGATTTGGGGAAAACTGTCCTCTAATTCTTAAAATTAGGAGTACAAACTGACCAGCGAAATACGAATGTAAACTAAGACACAAAGGAGAATGAAAATATTAGACAACAAATTTTAAGAATATGTCACATAATAAAAAAAAAACATAATACAATTAAATTAAAAAAAGAATATGTCACATATTAAGTAATGAAAATCCTTTCAGCAAACTAAAATAATTCACTCTAGGCACAGTCAACTAATAATGAGATATCAATTTCTTAATTCAAAGAAAAAAATAATAATTATCTTTTAAAAGGTGATTCTTACCAATTGCTTATTTTTAATGTACTCTGTTAGTTTATCTATTTTTTCCCCTTGTTTGTTTGACAGTTCCACCTCATACATCCTGAAGCACATATCTTGGCAACAGACTATGGAGAAAATCAGAAAAACAGAACATTTCTTATTTTAAAATGCTATTATGCTTTTTTATAACCAAGTTTTTCACTTTGTGTGTTAAAAAGATGAAAGAACTAGAAATACTCTTTAAAAAATTTAACATTCAATGGTCTTTGTTATAAAACTCCTCAATAAGAAGTTACTGTGTCAAGTATTTGAAACAATGCTTTCACTAATATGGACTCTACTACAGAATTTAACAAGACAAATATATACTATATAAATAACATAAACATCAACGTTCCATGAATTAATCTAAATGACCAGGAAATTTCCTTCTCGTGTTTTCTGTTTTTTCCTTCAGTTAGAAGTACATAAATAAATAAAAACCACCACCACAAAACCTCTGTTCTCTTTCAAAGGCATGGTTATGAGTCTCCAACTATTTGTAAGCAACTCTCTGCTGAACTCCCTCAATGTTCTATAGTAAAGTGAGTCTCTGCCACCTTAGATGAAATTGCCTTTCAGTTTCTAGTTAGCCTCCAAGGAAATAAATCACAGCAACCCTACAACTTTTACAAAGGGCCCTTCTGCGAATCACTTAGGGCAAAACCACAACAGAGCGTGTGAGAGTGTGCGCGTGACAGATGGAAAAAACTGAACAAAGCCCAGGGCGTGCAGGGTATCATTACATCTGAACAGACCTTTTTGCTCCAGGTAATTCTGTTTTCTAAAGGCAGCTTCTGGTAGTCTTTTTTTCAAAGATGACACTTTCATTACATACTTAAAATCTAGTTCATGTGGCCTAAAAAACAAAACAATACCATGCAATTTAATAAACATTTAAACTACAACTTATTATTTTATTTTCTAATACAAATGCAAACAAAAATATCACAAGAAAAGTCCTGAAATTGATAAAATCTGAATCAAATAATGTGCATATTTATAAATATTATAGATTTTCAAATATATGACCCCACAGACCACAGTCTGCAAATATGTTCAACATTTTCTGAATGCATGTATTTTTGAGATTAGCAAAATATCTAGATGAATGAAAGAATTATGCATACCAGAATGAGAATTTTCTAAAAATTATGCTATGTGAGAGTTGACAACTTTTGACAATAGTGGACTGCATACCATGCAGTGCCACGGAATGAACCACATCCAGACTTTTGTACCACTTCCCCCGACTTCTCCTTGAAAACTCATTTTCAAATACTTGTAGACTTATAAATGCTCCCCTTACCCCTAAATACTTCTCTGTGTGTCCTTAAAAAAGGACACTTCCTTATGCAACCACAAAACAATTAATGAAATCAAGAAATTAATAATGATATGGTTCCATTATTTAACCTACACACCTTATTCAAATTTTGCCAACTGTCTCACTAAGGGGCTTTATAACAAAAGAAAACAAATCTTTTTCTGTTTTACGATCCAATCCAGGATGACACACTGCATTTAGTTATGTCTTTTTAATCACCTTCAATCTAGACAGTCTCTTGGTCTTTAACGACCTTGGTATTTTTGAAGAATACAGAACATGTATTTTGCAGAATGCCACTCAATCTGGGTATATCTGATGTTTCCTGCTGATTAGATTGGCAGGAATACCACACAAGTGACACTGTGTCATTCTCTATGCATCCTATTAGGAAGCACATGATATTTATTCCACTGCTGGTGATGTTAACCATTTAGGTAATGGTTCTAGCCACTTCCCTCCACACTCATTAGTTGTACTCCACAGTGACAATGAACGTTCCCAGCTCTCCCATTTATTTATTTACAGAATTCGGTTTTTTTTGTTTGTTTGTTTTGAGAGAGAGAGCACACACGTGCAGGGGGTGGAGAGTAGGGGGGAAGGGGCAGAGGGAGAGGAAGAGAATCTTAAGCAGGCTCCATGCCAGCGCAGAGTCCGACTCAGGGCTTGATCTCATGGCCCTGAGATCATGACCTGAGCTGAAGTCAAGAATCGGATGGTCAGCCGACTAAGCCTCCCAGGTACCCACCCCTATTTACAGAATTCTTACTTTATTCTCTGGGTTGTAATAACCCTCAATCCTCCCTCTTAAAACAGGTCAACAGAAGGAAAATGAATTGTGACAGCACACCTATCTTCAGCTTAGATTTCAATAAAATAGGTCTATCTTTCAACAGTTTTGGGTGCAAACTAAGTGCAGACTAAATAAAAAGATTTCATGAGATGCCCTTCACAGTGCCCAAAAACAAATAATACATTATAATGCAAATACGTGTAATAGCTACTCTACTTCATAGTGGTCTAGGAAAATCATGGGAAAATTACAAAATCAGCTCCTGCAACTCTTAATAAAGACTCAATAATAGTATTAAGTACCTATAATCTGCTGCATCTACTATCGAGGCAAATCCAATTTATTTCTTGGGAAAGTCAAACATCAAGGTCATATTCTCATGAATGGATTTAGACACTAAAATTTCCAAAGTGACTTGTCAAAGATTATAAAACTATTTCAAAGCCAAGGTCAGAATTTAGACCTGAATTTTAAGTTTCCTGTGCTCTGTACATCTACCCCAAAGTACTCTAATAAAAAACCAAGTACGACTGCTTTGCTTCACACAAGTACCAACAAACAAGACCTCAAAATGAGAATTAAAAAAAAAAAAAATCAAACAGTAAAGGACACAAACTCAATACTTACAGTTGCTTTGGAACAGCTGTACCGTAAGAGGACCAAAGACTTATATCACACAGCAGACAGCCTTGAATAATTAATTTGCCTTGCCATGAAGAGGTGAGAGCTGTAAGAAATGAGTAAGAAAGAAACGGATTATTTATGAGCAAAACATTTACTGAAAAAACATAAAAGAACAAATTAAATAATTTCTTACCATTTTCACTGAGTTCAAATCTAGGGAAAAAGGAAAGGCATGTTTATAAGCGCAAACAGAACAGATCCAGTAAAACAAAGTATGTGCATAATTACTTACATGCTTTTACGAGCGGAAGCTGCCATCCTTTTAGGCTCCCTATACTGAAAAGCTACAATAACATAAGGGCAGATCTGCCGGGGTCGCTCAATAACGGAGCTACCTGAAAGTTCATAGAGGTAATACTGAAAGAAAAGAAATAAGGATTATCAGAGTAGCACCATGGAACGCTTTATCTCAACTCCACCCAGTCCTGACATTTAACACAGTAGATTCAGAAATGTATCTTGGGAATGATTTATTCCCAGGTGACTATACCTGACTCAGTTCAAATGCGCGAAAATGACTCGTCTTGTGAGAAACCTTGTTAGTATTTGCAGCCACGTGGCAATCATAGCCAGAAGATGGGCTAGTATAGTTAGTGGTATAATTTTCAGACACAAACTTGACTTTTCCCTAGAATAAAAATATTAAGACTAATCAGATGTCTTCAAAAGGCAAAAATCTTACTCTAGGATTCATTTAAAAGTAGCCTAATAAGTAAGGATATGGATGTGTTTCAAATTGTGTTAACAATTATGGTTCTTAGCAAATTATCTTAAGGCCAACAATAGTTTTAATTATCCATGAACCTCTTAACACTGTATTTAAAAATGTGGTATGTCTGGGCATCTTCCTGAGGTAAATGATCACAGCTTCTACCACAACATGAAAGGAGTACATGAATCCCCCCAAATTTAAGAGAATCATTTCTGTAAAAGAAAAATTATACAGCCCACCAACTGGAACAGATTAGCTTAGTCAATGACTGTAACATAAAAGGTGACAAATGGAATCTAAAATTTCACAAGATGAATTTTCAAACTGAAGTATTAAGATATCAATTGTAATTTTTAGATCAAAGTATTTCTATTATGCCAGGACCCAGTAAATCAGCAAGAAGCAAATAGACAGTAAAGTGCTTAGCCAGACCTGATTACTGAATAGTCGATAGTATTTCCGATTATAGATTTCTCTTCATCAAGGGTTACATGTCTTCCGGGGGGGTGGGGGGGGGAGTGAAATATCATACAACGATTTTAAAAGCTGCTGTGAATATAATGACATATGTGGAAAAATACACAGAATATATACCAAAATGAGGTAAGGTTATAGGAAACTAATTTTTATCCTTACAGGAAGAATCTAATTTTTTTTGGGGGGGTTGTTAAGGTCCTGCCTCTTCATTCATAGGACCACCAGGGGCATTAATAAAAAGCCAAAGAATATAAATAGTAGTTCTCAGTGAGCAATCACAACCTGTATCTTCTCCCCCTCCAACAGTTTATGATGTCACGCATGGCTGGCTTTTGAGCAGTAAAGCAAGAACTGAGAGCATATAGGTAAAAATTGACCAGCAATATCCACCAGACAGGGGGTTACAAGCCAAGAAACCCAGGGCGAAGCACAATCTGACAGAGGTACAACGCGGAATGAGGGTTATGTGAGCCAATGGCCATCTACTGCAGTAGCTCTTCTGCAGGAGGAGGCAGAGGGAGGAGTGGGGATCGAGCGCCAGTGTGATGCTACCTTCCCTCCAGTTCTTGGGGTCAAACCTTAGAATGTGAACAGTTCACACTCAAAAAAACACATCAGTAGTGTTGGTTTATAATCAGAGAACTCAAGATAGTAAGAAAGCTAAAACCGAAGCAAAAAACAACAAAATGAGACTACAGAGTATGTCCTCACAAAGCCCACCAATCTCTAAAGTCAGAATTTTCCTAGGAACTACTTGCACTATTTGAGGGTGTTTTAAGAATTTCTGAGATCAGCAGTTACAGATGCCACATAAAACTGTCAACAGGTCTGGATGTTTTAGGGATAAAGGAAATAAGGCTCTCTTATTTCAACAATTTAAAAAGGAAACGAAAGTTGCTGTCTAATTCCTCTCTTATAACTGTAATCATCACATTGTTCTTATAGGTTGCTACTTATGTTCTGTTATTTAATGTTTAAAAAGTGGCACTGTGGGCCAGGGCGAGAGGAAGATTTTTACTGATTACTTTCTGTGTTATTTTGAGAGTTGTTTTGTTTTTTAAAGACATAGTCATAGATCATTTATCAAATGAACAAAATCTTTGTCTTTAAAGGAAAGCAAGAACAGCAATAAATTTCTGAATTTATAGCTATCTTCGGTGACTATGATATTTAGCAAATGATCCACAAAGAACATTATCACAGACTGATAACTTTTAGTTTTTAAAAGAAAAATTACATGAAAGAGCGTTTGGGTTTTACCTTAATTAGGTTAAAAATTACAACATAACCAGACTTCCCATGATACCATGGTCTTGCATGAAGATAGTCTGAGTATTTGGAAATATACACACCTATAAAAGTATAAGATATAGATTAATTCACACTTTAAAAGGATTGTTTACTCACATACATTTCACATGTAGGGCTACCTTTGACAGAACAAGACAACACAAAAGACAAATAAAAGTCAACATTACACTGTTTTGAAACTGCTTACCTTTTAAAAACTATTCAAGATATTCTAAAGGTATGGAAACATCAGAGCTAAGACAAGACAGGATGTATCTGATGGACAACCAATGTTCTAGTTGGGTACAATAACTAAAAAGGGATACAAGTCTCACAATTCTTGGTAAATTCTAAGTTTATTTTTTTTAAGGCAATCATTCAGTAAAAAGGCCTATCTGTAGTAATCCAATTCTCAAGTTATTTTTTGCAAAAAATCTCAGTAAGGACTCTATTTAATAATAAGCACTAAGGTCTGCCACTTGGCAGGTATGTGCTAGGCAGCAGTGGCACCAAAGTCAACAGGACAAGGTCCTGCCTTGAAGCAGCTTATGCTGCTAGTCTGTGCAATCTGTAGTTCAGGCAGGGGTCATGTTTGTTCTATTCACCACTGTAGCCACGCCACAGCCCAGTATATAGTAGGTACTTAACTATTCGTCAGACACATGTATTTGAGGACACAAAGAAATGGAAATAAGCAATTATATTTTCTTAGAAAAGGAGTTCTTTAAACAGAGGAATGAAATTCTCAGAGAACAGAGTGAACACAAGTATGGAAGCATAGAAGATGATAAACTGTGCAGGACGGTGGGCCACAGCATGGGGAGCAGGGAAGAAAGCACGGGAAGCTGAGGCTGAAGGGGAAGCTTGGAACTGGGTGGTAAAGATCTTTGTAGGACTTCTTCAGGGGAGACCTCACCCTACAGGAGCAGAGATCCACTAAGGGTTTTCAGCAGCAGACTACCACTTACAAGACAGTGGAGTCTCCAGAGGGGAGAGGCTAGAAGCAAGACCAACCAGAAAGCTACTGTCAGAGCTGAGACAGGTCCCCATGTGGCAGCAGCAGGGGAATGGCAAGGGAAGTGCAGATCCCACAGAGATTCCTAAACTGAGGCATCTCTCGAAATACGAGACAATGGAGAGAGCCCTTGAATATCCTGGAAAGAGCAATGAACTTGTGGTAAGAAGCTTGGGTTGCAGCACCAAGTCATTCACTTCCTACTAATAACCACGTGACTGAGGGGCAAGTCACTTGAGGTGGGGGCGGGGACTTGGATACATAGACCACAGGGTCCTCAGGAAGATTTAAAAAGATCTATAAACTTTTAAAACTAAAAGACACTACATTCACAGAACTAAACATTTCTATTTGAGCCCGAAACTATAAAATATATGCGTTCTACTTTAATTAAAATTAATTAATTAAAATTAATGATAACTTACTCTATAAGTTCTATTTTCTTACCCACCCCACTATGTGTTTAAGAAAGTATATTTGTTAAGAATAATGCAGTTTCTACTCCAGCACCTCACCGAAGCCAGCTCTTAAACATCAACAATATAATTAGGAATCAGAATAACGTAGAAAAGGGCCTCATATTTTGGAGATGTAAGCTAAAGTATTTACTTGTAATTTACTTTCAAATTCTTCAACAACAACAACATTTTTTAACCAAATGAAGGGAATAATGCAAAACATGATCTGTTAAACCTAGGGGATGGGTACATTATACCATTCTCTCTTACTATGTTAGTTATGTTTTACAATGAAGGGGGTGTGAAAAAGAGTAGGAAGAAAAAAAGGTGTTATGTAAAATGTTATCGGGGTTATGAATGTATTCCCTCTCATGGCCTTTAGAAGATGTGAATGTAAGTTTTAAAGCATTTTGTGTTACACAGAGTGACCACATAACCTAGCAATTCCACTGCTGTGTCTATACCTAAGAGAAGGCAAAACGCATGTCTCCACAAAAACTTGTACATGAATGCACACAGCAGCATTTCCGTAACAGCCAAGAAGTGCAAACAACAAAAGGTCCCTCAAGCGCTGAAAGAATAAAGAAAATGTGGTAAAACCATACAGCGAGATATTATTCAGCCAAAAGGCAGACAAAGTACTGCTATGAGCTACAACATGGATGAGTCTTGAAAACACTAAACTGAGAAAAGGAGTCACAAAACATCACATAGGATTCTGTTGATGTGGAATGTCTGAAGGAGGCCAACCTGGAGAGGGGAAGAGCAGGTTAGTGGCTGCCTCGGCCGTTGGTGGCAGGGAATGGGGCGTCACTGCTAAATAGGCACAGGACTTCTTTTTGGTGGGATGAAAACAGTCTAGAATGGACTGTGCTAATAGCAGCACTATTCTATGGATACACCAAAAAAAGCTGAACTGTACACTTGAAATGGGTGAATTAGAGGCTGTATAAATTTTATCTCAATAGAACTGTGAAAAAGAAAAGGCCAGCAGGAAGCTAGCCACTCCTGATCTCCACAGTGGTAGCACCTGATAGTGCTAAATACCCATCCTCCTCTCCCTCCCCAGCTCTTCCTCCACTGGACTGCCCACCCCCCCCAGGTCCTGCAGCGACCCACAGTCCTGTTCTTTGTCATCTTTTCCTTCAATAATGCCCCATGGAACTTTGGCTTCAACTAACACCTAGTCCTGCCACCTTAAGCCCCCATCTCCAGTTCTGATCCCTTTTTCCAGCTTTTTTTTTTTTTTTTAAACCATCAGGAGGGTATCTCCTGGTAACACCTAGGAAAACCTCACTATTTCTCAAATTTAATTCATGAAAGTAGTAGCATCCATTTACTGAGAGCTAAGTACTTCATGTAGCCTCACATGATCCTCACAGCAGATCTAAACGATAGTTTTATCTATTTCACAGATGAGGAACTTGAAGCTCAAAGAAATTTAGTGCTAATCCACATTCTTAACCGTAAGATTACCTTTCTCTTTTAACTCCTCAGCTTCCCTACCAATCTCCTTTCCTTCTGTGTCTTTTCGCTATTAACAACATCACTGTAGTGTAATTTACAAGCTTGTATGTGAATATTTCCTTTCTCTTGCTCCTCACATTCCACAGTTGCCAAGTCTGGCCAGTTCCATCTATTCTCTATTCCTACTGCCATTATGATAGTTTAGAAGACATCCTCATTAGCCCTGGATGATCGCACTAATCGCTTGGTACTGAAAGCTAATTTCAGTATCTCTTCTAGTCCAACTTTTAAGAAAAAGTTTTGATCATGTAACTCCTATTGGAAAATCTTAAGTCTTAGACTCGAAGCTCATTTACATGTTTAAAGCACTGATTCTAAAGATTATTATTTATCACTAATGAAACTGGCTTTTAATGTAAGTATCTTATGAAATGAACTAAACCGCACTTCATCTTGTAAAAGAAGAGACTCCTTTTCTCAGACTTACCTTTTGCTGGGTCACCGAGAGTGGTTCTAGCACTGCTGCCCACACACAGCCCGCGTTGACACACTAACTTTGCCTTTAAATAAAAGACAGTACTTTGCTTATCATGTCAGTCTTAGGAGAGACAATGAAGTAACACTATAATATATAAGCTTTCAGATAAATATATAACCTGTATATGGTGTGTATTTATGGCACAAAGCAAGCTTGTGTAAGGCAATTGTGTTTGGTTAACAGTTCATGAAATTTTATCATTTCTGTTAACAAAAATGTCTTCAGCAAAACCAAATTAAACAAGCTTCCAGATTAAGTCCTCTCTTGAAGATTTTGATTATAGCTTTGGAATCACTAAATTTGAAAATGTCTTATCCTTTAATGCCCTTTTTATATGAATCCATAGTGTATCTTATTTATAAGTAGATGATTAAGTAAATAAATGAACTCTTCTGGTATTACTATATAATCCTTATGTTATATGCTAATGTTAAGTATTCTTTAAGCAAGCCTACCCTTGTTCTTTAAAAATCACAAATCCAATCAAAATATGAAATTATTTTAAGTTGAATTCTAAATTTCTGGTATTGTTAAAACTGTATCTAGGGAGCCACATACATCTTTGGGAACACGCTCCACACAGTAGCTTCCTTCTCCCACAGTTTGGGTACAAGTAACAATACAGAAGCTCCATCTTTAAACACTGGCATGAAATAATTTCAAGTAACTCAATTGCTGAAAGTGTTCACCTTATGCCCAAAACCATGTAACTGAAACTTGAAAAACCTCCACAAGAAACAAAGTATCTATGTGAAGAATGATCCAGAATGAAGAAATACCCATTCACTCCATTAAAAGGCATTACTGATACTTAGGAAACCCGTATTAATCCAATTAATCCAATTCTCACCCTGAGATGACACTAAAGAGGGCCTGTGAAAAGGTACAGGAATCCAACCTCTTTCAGGACTAGCTGTCATGATCATTCCCACTGCCACCAGACTCAGCAACAAAAAAGACTGGAGAACTGGTAATTTTACAAATCTTAGAGAAGTGAAATACCAATATTTAAGTTTAATGATATCATTAATTTTGTACACTAATGTCACAAAATTAATGTTCTACAACCTAATACCCTTACCTGATTTTCAGTTTCAAACAGAAGAAACCCGTAAGTCTCTTGAAGTTCTTCCTGAGTATAATTACTTGATTTTTTTTCTTGGTAAAAAGTTTTGTACTGTATAAAAGAGAGAATAATCAAATGCTATAAACATACTATTTTGCCTTGCAAATTAATTTTTAAAAAAATGCATCATCTGAATTCCTCCTGTTAAAGGACTAACAAAATTTATTATTTTTCTATTCCCTACAATATATTCTTATTACCTTCCAAGGATTTCTTATCTCATCTGAAAGTGACAACTGAGAAGAACTAGATAGGCTTTTATACCAAAAATGATGGGTCTATTTCTTTAAAACTAAAATAAAACTAACACACAGACACAGTGTGTACCAAGCACCTCACCTCATTTAAGAAAATGTCATTTTTCACCAAAGTCACTTGACTGTACTGAAAACCATGCTCAGATGCAGAGTCCAAGTAAGAAGTATGAAGAATTGAAACTGCCCTCTGGAAGAGAGAGTCTGAACTCAAGGACACTGTCTCAAAAACTGTAAAACACAAACAAAAATAATGCAACTGTTTAAGATAACCAAAGGATGGGGTTAAACGCGGCATACTAAATATCACTGAATACTTCACCTATTTCCTTCCTGTAAAACTCAAGACACTTACATTGTATTTTGGCTCCATATCTGTACTATCCTTAAAAGACCTCTCATGTGAAGAACATAATCTACACGGAGGTGAGTTATTGAAGGTGAATTAATTACTTTCAATACAAGAGTAAAATAAACCCTGCCAGATTCCTTGGGCCTTTGGGTTGAAAGCTGTGTGTTGTAACCACAGATGGGACAAGCAGACCAAATGTGGTAGCATCAAGGCGGTGGTCAGCAATCACTTAGACCAATGTTTCTCATCCTGAAGTTTTTTAAAACTTATGCCACATTTTGATAAACTTCACCCTTCCTGTCTTCTCATCAAATCCCCCCAAGTAAGCCCATTAGGTTCCTTTTTAGGGGCTTACGATTGCACACTCAACAAACACATTAGAACTTGTTCTATATTTGGGGTTTCCTCATGGCCTAGACATGTCTGTTGAACTTTACTTCTTATGGGTTATATTATGAAATCATTTTTTTCATTTCACAAAAATAAAACTTTATTACTTTTAGAAAGTGCTTTTTTCAAACCCCACCCATGTGCTAGCCCAGAAATTCTGACATGACTTTCCCGAGAGAGGCAGGTTTCCTAATCGAGAATTACTGACTTGACCCAATAATTCTCTTGATTGAGGCTTTGTGCCTTTTGTTTTACAAGTTTTTACTTTAGTAAGAACTGTTCCTAACAAATTCTCGTAACATTTCACTATGATTTGGTTACTCCTATTTGTGTCTTCTCTATGTTCTTTAACAAGGTCAAGGCAGGGAGGTAACAAACTACTTACAAATAATAAAGAGAATGGAATAACATACAGAGCACTGGAAGTTTGGGTGATACAGTATAAATAAATATATTAATATGGCTTCCCACTTTTACCAGAACTCTCTGCCAATTACATTAAAGTTCAAAAGCTAAAGGAAAGACAAACATTTTGAACCACAGTAAAAAACTAAACTATCATAGAAATGAAAACAAACATTTCAGTAAAGTTAATTTGGACTAAACTGTCCTAACACTTCCAATTATCCATTAAAATTACTTTACTAAACTTCCTAGCATCAAAAGTCAAAGACTTAAGTAGCAAGGAAGGAAAGAAAAGAGAATGAAACATTTAAGAATATCCTGAAGTTCCTACATCTGATCCATATCAGTTGTTTTACTTTTTCTCAGTTTCATTTTTTCCTTCAATATCAGTATATGAATGCTATAAAAAATATGGATATTCTAAAGAGGTTCAAATAGTGAAACAATAGGGATGACAGTTAAAATGATGGCTTTCTTGAGCTACATTACTTTCTTTAGCTACATTCGCCCAAAACAAACTGGGAAGCCTAAGCATGTGTGACTCGGTCTTACAAATAAGCTGCACTGCTAGGCCAAATGCAAGTCAGGATTCCTCTAAAAATCCTCATTTGGGAAACCTTGTATTTAATATTTGCAAAAAGGCAAAATAATATTTAAAAATCTAAGTAAACTCTAAAGCTCAATATTTGAGAAATAGGTTGCTTACAGTGAAAGAAATAAAAGTTGTCAGAGCTTTGGAAATGCACATTCTATGGTTATGAACTCTTAAATTCCACAAGATGTTAATACGAAGACACAGGCTTTTAACTTTTCAAAGTACCAAATACTACATATATCCACATTTTTGAGGGTCAATGCACAATAAGCGAAAAACTGAAAAAACAGTGCAAGCTGAAAAGCAAACAAAAATAGCCCATCTTACACAGTGTTTGCTAAATACATGTGGTCAGAGAACACTTTATTTACCAATGTGAGGAATACTGCTCTCAATAAAGCTATGAATAGATATAATGGTTTAAAATAAACAGTAGGATGGGGCGCCTGGGTGGCTCAGTTGGTTAAGTGACTGCCTTCGGCTCAGGTCATGATCCTGGAGTCCCGGGATCGAGTCCCACATCGGGCTCCCTGCTCAGGAGGGAGTCTGCTTCTCCCTCTGACCCTCTTCCCTCTCGTGCTCTCTCTCTACCATTCTCTCTCTCAAATAAATAAAATCTTTTAAAAAAATAAATAAAATAAAATAAACAGTAGGAAATGATTTTGTGCTAACATATTTTTATTCCTAAAACTATTTATAGTTAAAAATGCTTCCCCTTTAGGTCAGCATTCTCCAAAAAGCAATATATTTATATAAGTAACCATTTTACAATTAGCAGAAGGTAAAGCATGTCCAAAGCAAAACGGTTAGAAATCCACAGTAAATCTTGAATCTTTCATGATTTCGTAATAAAATGATGTCAATTATACTCAAGAAAGCACAAGTTTCCTGCTGTATAACAAAGGAGATAGATGACCATTTTATTAAGAAATTATTTGACATTATCTCTTCTTACACAATGTACTCTCATTTAAGAGTTAAACTAGTGTACAAAACAGTATGAGCACTAAATAAATGGATGGCTGCATTTTTGCTGAGTAATACACATGCTTCACTTAAACATGCAAGGTTATCAGAATATTAAGAGAATGAAGAGGGGGCTATTCTACAGAGAAATACTAAAACAACTTAAAAAGTACCTGTCTGTAAAGTGAAAGAGTGTCCCCTAGGGCTTAAGTGACCAATAGAGAGCAAGTGGGGAAAATTCAAGTTCAATCACAATAATTCTAGAAACTGAGTTAATATTCTTTCCTATAGCACCTAGCTTTGGGCATATTTCCCTGCTATTTATGGATTCAGTCTTAAAAGTTAAGTCAAGCTTGACATAAGCTGGATTCTGTTCAACGTGCCCTGAGATAATCTCCCCCTTTCTCAAAATCTATCAGCGATACAGAGTGTCTGCTTTTGGACACTTGTTTCTCTTTTTAACTTCTAATAAATAAGAGGGATTAGAAAATTACAAACTGATCTCTGATGCTCTGGCACACATATCTGTTTTCCATTCTCTAAGCATCTGGTCTGAAAGCAAAGAATGAAATTTAGAACTAATGCCAACACCTTAGGTGCCTCAGTAATTCTAACATAAATTAGCCACTTCTACATCTCCCCGGGACTTTCATGACCACTTTTCTTGTTTGTGCATTATAGAATAGCACTCATCAAAGACAGAAACACTCAGAACCCAACAGTATTCACCATTAAAGGCCCTTATTAGTATTTCCTACTGAAGGACTGCAACCTACCTCCGTTAACACTGTGGATGCCTACATATTTGACCTAGTCTAAGTAGGCCCTTTGATAGTTGTTAAAGAGCCCATTCCCTCATCATCTAATCCTAAAATGTATTACCTTTATTTTCAAGACATTAAGGGATTGCCAGTTTAAGATAAATACAACTTTTTTGGATCTAACGAAAACTTAAATGTGCATACCTAATAACCATTCCATTTCTGGGAATCTATTCCTCAGAAATACTAGCACGAGCACACACGAGATATGTACAAGGCTACTCCACACACCGGCATCTATGGGAATAACCTAAATTGCCATCAATAAGGAAACACCTTACAACTACTACATAAAAACCAAGTAAATCTGTATATACTGACATATAAAGATATCTACTCTACTACTGAGTAAATAACATGCATTATATAATGCCATTTTGATAAAAAATATATAAAAAATTATGTGTTTGGAAGTTTACAGAAAAAGATCTAGAAAGATGGGAAACCAAATTGTTAATGGTGTCTAAACCAATGGTTATCGAAGTGGAAGTGGATAAAGGTGAACGTAAACGTTTTAGCTTATATATATTATTACATCTTAGGTTTTTTTCTTACATAAGCATGTACTACTTCTAGTATTTAAAATATCTCAATTCAAAATCAAGTAAAATGAATCATAATTTCAAAGAAGTACAAATAGAGAAATGTGACAATTTCCCTTGAGCCCTTTCTGGTGCAATTCGAAAATTTAATCACCTATTAATTTTGGATTAATGATTCTTTTGGATTAATGAAATTTGTAGTCACTGGAAATTGTAAATATTTTTTAAAAAGTCCTTTCATTTAACATGATATAAATTAAAAATTTTCAATTGTACTGTTCTACTTGGATTCATTAGTAGTAACTCATAGCATTTAGTTTAATACCCACTCTTTTCTGATAGGAACCCTGGCTCGGTCTTCTCTAAAAGAAAATGTAGCTGGGAGGGTGGTCTTAATTCATTTTCACCAAGTATACCCCCAGAATTCTTGACATAGTCCTGTTCTCTGTTAATGTCATAAATGCTAAAATGAGAAAAGAAAAAATTAAATCATAAAGTGAATAGTTCTATTTACGGCATACCTACCATATAAACAAATGTCTACTGAACATCTAATTTACATTAGGTACAATTCTGTAATGTTACCTCTTTTGACAAGTCTCCAGAGCTAAGGCTAAATTGGTTCTATAAGCAGTAAAACATAAAATGAAATGCTTTTCCTTCAATATTTAAGTTCTAAAGAAAATCTGTTCACAGAACTAAGTTATGCTTATAGGAATCACTTTTGCCTCAAGATAAAAAGTAGAGGTTATAGAACCACATTTAATGTTCTACTGGTTGAAAGTAAAATCAAGTAAGAACACAAACAAAATCTGTCCCCACCCCCGAATGAGTATATGACCCAATCATTCTTTTTTTTTTTTTAAGATTTATTTTAGCGAAAGAGATGGGGGGAGGGGCAGAGCGAGAGGGAGAGAGAATCTCCAGCAGACCCCTGCTGAGTGTGGAGCCTGACATGAGGCTCAATCCCACAACCCCGAGATAACAACCCAAGCAGAAGGCAAGAGTCAGAGGTTCAACTGAGCCACAGGCGCCCCGCCCCATCCATTCTTTAAAAAAAAACAAAACACTATTAGTGGTGCCTATTACATATACAGTACCATGCTATATCCTGGATTCAAGACAAATGAGAAACCATCTCTACAATAAAAGCTTAGACTAGAAGACAACGACAAACCTATACAGAAACCAGTACTATAAATGTGTGGGAGAATCTAGAACACGATGCAGTGGATGCGTAATAGGGATTTCCTTAAGACAAGGAAATGTCAAGAAGTTTTAGAGGTATCCATACTTGAAATCTGAGTAGGTATTCAAATAATAAAGGAGCCAAAAGAATGAGCTAGTCTGCATGTTTTCTAGGCAATAGAAACAGTAGGAGCAGAGGTAGAAGCGTTAGACACATAAGGCACCACAAGTAGTTTTATTTGAAGAATTCAATATGCTTCACACAAAATATTAGCATGTCTAGTTTT